TGGTATGTGGAACTAGAACAGTCTACCCCAGTGAGTGAAATAAAGGATTCAGTTCAACATTCCAACCACCTGAAGAAGGCCGGAGCATACAACAGCCAAAATGTTGTAATAAATATGGCAACAAAGATGAGGACAATAGTCTGAATAATGTAAATAGTGTACATAATACCTCATCTCAGAAATATAGACAGACATTTTTTTATTTGATACTGTAATGTCTAGCTGAAGGAAAATAAAACTCAGACTTTCTTTTATCACCGAATCTGGTGTTGCGACAATTCTTCCTTGATTTCAACATCTGAGGAAACCTCAGACGACATTCGTAGACAATCTATTAAAATTTACCATGGTGCAATTTTGTTACTTTTAGTAGCAAATTGTGATACACAATGTATTTAACCCCTTGTGATTCAGCAGACCCAACTTCATCATTGAGAGGATCTCTTTGGCCAGGGATCAAGGGACACTTCTGCTTTATGCCAGTAACCAGATTGCAGTTGCTGAAGTGACAAGATGGTATTCAGCGACATGACTAAGTCTGTATCTGGGACTAGGTTGGCTTAAGGTCACACATACTTTAAAATTTTAGATATTGTGTGCTGACGAAAATGTCTTGCTATTTTAATGAAAGCAGATGCAAAGTAAGGGTTCAGTTTAGCATTAAACTTACATTGTAAATTGACATTTTCAAAAATGTTTAAACAGATTCTTTATCAAATAAAGATTATATTCCTTTAAAGAAAAAAAATTAAACACTTTCTCTATAAAAATTTATGTGAATAAATATACAACCCTTTACCCCTTTCCATTACCTAAAGCAAAGACATTTTCAACCAATGACATGCAGATGGAATTTTTTGAAAAGCTTTGATTGTGAGTCTGATTAAGGCAAGACAATGTCTGATTCAAAGTAATATAATTTTAAAAAAGTGTGGGGCGATGTACTGGAAAAAATGTTTTGAGAAGAGATCTTGAGTATTTTCAGCCAATCAGAAGGATAGAATTTGAAACCTGACACCATTTTGAAAAGTAGTCTAGTGAGCCAGCCAGCACAAATATAAGGTTAGTCAACTTAAATCACCATCACATTCACATTACTGTTTGTGCATGAGTAATCAGGAGGGATTAGGTCAGCAGAGTAATTATCCTTTACTGAGGAAAAAAGGACACAAGTTCCTGAGATGCTACATGACATGCAAAGAACTCTAGAACAACATATGAAAACTTAAGACATAATTTTGAATGTGGTTATCTGAAGCAAACACAATTGGACCAAGTTTTGCTCAATAATATGAAAACAACTCTCTTTAATTATCATTCAACATGGAAGTACCAACTTCAGAAAATCTTTAACAAATGACAATCATTCTGCAACTCCTTCCATTCAACAGCTGTTCCTGCATCAGTGTTGACTTATTTAGTCCAAAGGGCTCAATAAAATCTGATAATACTTCATGAAATTTGCTGACACATTATACTCTCTACCAAAGACTTTATAACTTGACCAACTACAGTAAATCCACACTTTTATTATGAACATTTTTCTTTTCAGCAACCCCTAAAACCATTTTCTGTTTCATATTAATTAAGAGGTTTATCCCATGTTGCCTGTTTAGTATTGGGTTTCTGGTTCCTTCTAAAGTCTACTTCAACTCTATATTTCTAGCGTCTCCGCCGAAGACTTAGAAAAATACAGGTTATTTCCCTTTGGTAGATATCTCCTACTGATAGTAGGTTGGACCCATTCATCTGAGAATAATGGGTATGAGTTAAAATTAGATGTGAAATAAAATTTGGTCACTGTTTTTAGCAATCCTCTATTCTCTTCTTGTTGTGTAATGTATTTTTTATATAAAGTATGTTTTTTACAATGTTCAACTTTGAACTTTGTTTTTTACAATGTTCAACTTTGAACTTTGTTCATCAATCACAACACAGTTTGGGGAGTTGTTAAATTACCCACAATTTGCTAAAAATATATTCTTTTTGCAGTTAAAGTTCATGACATCAGGGATGATATCCAAATACATGTGTCTGTATGAAATAGATGATACACTTATCTGAAGCTGTTCATATTCTGCTTCTATTAACTACTTGTCCTTGGATTATTTGCTCAATAATATGAAGACAACTCGCTTTAATTATCATTCAACATGGCAGTACCAACTTCAGAAAATTTTTAACAAATGACAATCATTCTGCAACTCCTTCCATTCAACAGCTGTTCCTGCATCATTGTGGCTACCATCGCCTTTTCTTGGAGTGGGTTGAAAACATGTCTGTCCCATTCATGGTTGCCTTGGACTTTCTAATTTGGTGCCTGAATTCTATATTGCACCTAACTTTGAGTCATACCCATTATTCTCAGATGAATGGGTCTGACCTATTATCGGCAGGAGCTATCTAATAAAGGGAAATAAATTTTTTATAAACTCTGAAATTTTATTTACTTTTGAATTACTTTTTCTTTTTTCAATAGGAATAGATAGTTTTGCTTATTGTCCGGTTCACTCTCCTCCCTCGTCTTTTGAAAAGGAATAGAGGTTTATCCTTTGTTTTGTTGTGTTTCTTACACTAAACCGGATGTTGACTACTCGACGACCCAGGGCAGAATGCGAAAACGTATCTCTGCACATCATGGCTCAGCACATGTTTTCGGTATTAAATGATAAAATGAACTTTATATATTGACCAGTAGAAATAACTCCCACTAAAAGACAAAGATTGTGATTTAGAACCGATACGACGGATATAAATTCCTTGATTCAATGCCACAGAGAGACCCAGCTGAGATGTTGATATGCAGAGGTTGGTCAAAAATGCCACAGGTAGACTGAGACTGAACCTAATATTTTTCAATTTTCATTCTTTTGCTGCCGCCATTTTCACAAAACATCAGCTGACAACCATGACCAACATTCTTTCTCTTTCTTTCTTCCTTCCCCATTCTGTTGCCTTTTACAACAGCAATGAATAGTATGCTGGCTTTGTATATATGTAAATAAATTATACATTTATTTACCCAAAATATGATGTATTCCTTTTCTTCCTCGAATTTACGTTTGCTGAAGTGAAGAAGAAATTAACCCCTTCAGCAGAAACAACAACAGCGACAATTTCTGCCTTTCAGGTTGCTCATTGTTCATTTCTGCAACAGTTTCCTGTTTAGGATTGGGTTTCTGGTCCCCTCCAAAGCCTTTTCTTTATGTAACCCTCTACTTCTTGGGTCTTGTACAGGAGGAATATCATTGGTAAATAAACAATTTCTTTTTGCATCTGTCTATATTTCTGAGATAGAGTATGTAACTATTTACATTGTTCAGACTGTTGTCCTCATCTTTATTGCCATATTCACAACATTTCAACCATTGTACACTCTGGCCTTTTTCAGGTGATATTAGTTGGAATTTCAAACCAAGGGGGTAGATTATTCTAATTCCACATAACATGGCTTTTTTTGGATATTTCAGTTTCAGTTAATTCTCCTTGGTAACTCAACTCTCCAGGTTTTTGTCCCCTCTACTGTCTCCCCAACATGACCCAGTGGATAAAAGTGTTGGCTGAGTGATCCAAAAGTGACTTGAATCCAAAAGATTGTGAGTTTAATACCTGTCCACAGCAGAGGGTACAAAAACTTAGAGAGTGGAGTTATCAAGGGGAATTAACTGAAACTGAGATATCCAAAGGCATGGCATGTGGAATTAGAACAATCTACCTTTGTGGACTAAATAAAGTGTTTGTTTCAAAATTTCAACTGAAGATGGCTGAAATGTTGTGAATATGGCAATAAAGATGAGAACAACAGTCCAAATAAATGATTTCTTTTTGTTTTGATTTCTTACTGAGTAAGAACTTTTTTATAATTGCATGCTTAAAGAATCACAAATTGATTTTTATTTTTGCAACGAGGATAATCCCCATAATTTAATTGATTTATTTGTTTTTCTTTTCCCCAAATTTTAACTTTCCCCTCCTCATTTAAGGATATTTTAATTAATTTTGATAATTAACATTAATAAATATAACTAAAGAATTCCTCTTAACTGGAAAAAAACATAATTTTGGATTGGTTTGGTTTTGTTTTGTTTTATGACATGTCAACCTCAATGGGTTATTTAATGCTGACAAAATTTTTATTGCTGTTAATACTTTTTTTTCAAAAATGTGTTGATGATTATATTTTTTTCCTTCAAAAATTTATTTCCGGTAATGTTTTTCCTTAAAAAAATCTATTTCTTGTAATATTTTTTTCTTCAAAAGTGTATAGCTGGTAATATTTTTTTTTCAAGAATGTATTGCTGATAATATTTCTTGTTTCAAAAATGTATTGCTGGTAATAATTTTTTCTTCAAAAATTTATTGATAGTAATAAAATCTATTTTTACACTTTCATCATGTTTTGACCCCAATTTGGGGGTTAACTCTTTGCCCATAGCTGAGACCCTAACAGGTGCTACCACCCTGGGTCAGGGTGGAACTGGGAACACCAGCAATTAAGAGGTGGTTCCACGCTCCTCAAAACCTCCTGATCAGAGGCCTTGCTGTTGGACGTAGTTTATCCTCTTACCCAGGACGCGGATGTAGTTTATCATCATACCCCGGTCGAACTGATGTTTTGGGAAGAAAGAATTAATAATATCTTGGATTTTCTTTTTCACGCAAACCAAGATAAATTTCAAATTTTATTCAGCAACCCTATACGCTAACCACCAAGCTACAATAGCCGTCAAACAGAATAGCAGTGTAAGTGCGCAATCGATAAAATTATTCTATCATTCTATTCACAATATTCTACTATTCTTATAATCTGTACTCAGCCTCAATCTGAAAACAAACATGGCGCTCAACACGTGTAGTTGACATTCATAGTTTGATTAGGATTTAAAAAAAGAAAAAAAATGCTTCTTCATCGTAAGGCGTATATTTTCCGTCGATTGTTTAGGTTATCCAAATATATCGATAGACAATTATTATCGGTGAGACGTTCTCAAAATGATTTTATGTCTTGTACTCGGTAAGATTTTTGACCTTACTCAGGATGATTACTGTTTCGGACAGTACGTGTTTGTTTTGTTAGTTAAGTAATGTTATTATTTTGCGCGTGTAATTTTGTTTAATACATGCATTTATTTGTAGTAATCTTCACATAAAAGACTTTGTAAAAAGTCTAGTATCGGGGCTATAATTCGGATGCACAATAATGAAAGTAATTTTTTGTTAATAGTTCTTTAAGACTTTTGGAGGAATCAAAAGAAATTCTAAAGAATTGTTCTGATCGAGATGCACTCTTAGAAGCAGTCATCCAAAGTAAAGACGATTATTAGTGATGGACTAAAATAAATGATCTGAGCTATAATCATAAAGTTATTTATGAATTTACAATTTACAACATGAATCTTTTTAGTTCATATTCAGATGTCTGTCCACTGGCCTTCATAAAAAAAGCGTTTTCTCAGAGAAAAAGAAATCAACAAACATCCGCACAAATGGGCTGAATATATATTTCGAAAAAAATAAAAAAAGATTATTTGATTATATTAAAAAAACGATAAATTTCTTAACTTACGAATTATGGCCCAATTCTAGACTGTTTTTAGTAGTCTTAAGTTTTTTTTTACTACGGAATTTAATTGTTTTAAAAAATCTCGTGAAAATCATTACTTGTTTTAAGTTTTAACTCTAGAAATCTTGGAAAAAGGAAGGCGTTTTTAATGTTACTAAAAAAAAAGCTTTCTTTTTAAAAATCACTGACTGGAATGGATCAACTTGAAAAAAAAAAAGGCTTATTTTTAGCCGGCTCGCTGTCCTGGCCAACAACTTTAAATAAAAAAACGTTGGTTGACTAAATGGAATAATAAAGCGGGAGACTAATTGACTAATCATAATATTTTGAAAAGTACATCTCAAAATCCACTTAATCTGTGGACGGTACTAATACAGCAAGAAGAAGTCTCAATACGGTGTTCACTGTTCCGTAATACAGTCATTTATTTCTGTCAGGTACTTCATGAGTTTATGGGTCCGCTCTTTTTGCAATAGATTCATAGTAAAATTCGATCAAACGTTTTCTAACAATGCTACGCTCGCATATTCGATATATTTCATAGTTAGGGAATAATACTCATATCCCGTAAGACTCGACTTTGTGAAGAAAGCCTTTAAGAAGAAGGTTTTTTTTTTGTTTTTCAAAGTTTACGCCAAAGCGTAAACAATTTTTATTTTTTACTATCGCTCGCATGTACGAAAATCATCTTCGTATACGATCTCTGTCGTGTAGTTGTTTGTTTCGGAAGATGGATTTAAAACCGTAAAAAAAACGGTAAATAACAAACATCTCTAACAATGATACGGTCACATAATTTCATAGTTAAGGAGTCCTACCCAACTTTTTGTTGAAACTCTCAATTTGACATTAAATTTTGAATTAAAAGTTCCTTAAATGTTCAATTTATTTTTATGAGACGGATTTCTACACTTTTGGGGGGGATAAGAAGAGGCTGGTTTAATGTCCGCTGTCTGCTAAACTTGTCATGTTTTTTTTGTTTTTTTTGTGACCTTTTTTCTTTTTTATCTGTGGCATTTTCTTTTAGTTTTACCCGAATTCGAACTATCAAATGGCAATATTTGGACAAAGCTACTTTTTCTTTAATTGGAATTAGGTTGAATTTTAATTGCTAATTGTATTGAACTTGAACTTCGCACAGGTTATCTTATTTAAATTTTATTCTTAAGTTTTTGAATTCCTCGTTGCCACCATTGTATTAGGAGCAGTATAGGTGTGTTTTATCATTTAGGCAACTGTTTTTTTTTTACATTTTTATATTCAAGCCGTTGTCTACCTTCAGGATCTTGGACTCAGTAAAAAACGATAGTCAAGCCATTTTATTTGAAGTTTTTTATCCATTCACTTCAGTGATTTAAAAAGAAAAGCTTAGAGTAGTGACGCTTTTTTTTTTTTTAATGTCGTATCTCTTCAGGCTATCATACCACACAGCTTCCTCTTTCTTTATTATCTGTGAATTCCTATGCATTCTTGGGAAAGACAGTGAAGTGGTTTCCCCTTGCCTTCTCTGCCGTTTGCAGTTTTCCTTAGATTATCTTCCAACCTGCTATTTAAACCCATAACTGGAGGGTGGCAGAAAAAATGTATTTATGCCTTTCCCAAGGTTATTAGTGTGAAAGTGAACACAACAGACTCAGCCAGGATTTCAACTTGACTCACCGATTTTTGCTTTAATGCTAAATTTTAACATTTTTTTTTTTTTTTACCAGTGTAAAAAATAGTGACCGGTAAAGAAATCAATGTTCCCTTACTATTCAAAATATCTGCATTATTCTTTTGAAAAGATAAAAAATAAGGAATTTACCCTTACACGCTGAAACACAAAAATCATCTGTAGCATAAAATACTTGAGAACTTTATGGTAGTGAATAACCATTGATTTTGAAAAAGCTGATGTCCATCAACCCATCACAGTTGCCACATTATGGAACCGCAACAAATAATAACTCTGGTACCAGGATTTGAGATTAACGTCATCCTGGGGATGGTGGAGCATTTGGTTTGGACCATTAGTTAGCTTGGTGGTGAGTGGGGAGACAATACAAAATCTTTGGCAAACTTGGACCTTTGTGCCTGCAAAAATGGAGTGTTGTAGGGGACCGTGTCGGTGATGTTGTTGAGTAGAAGTAGATGTATACACGTGGGTTAAGATTTTCCTGCTAGCTGGTCCAACTGCATGAGAAAGTTGGACTTTAATTAATTCCAAAGAAGGCAAAGAAAAACAAACACAAAACCGATAAATATATGTAAACAAATATATGTCTTAATAACAAGAAAGGTTACAAGTTACATGGACAGAGTGTGTGTGGTGAATATTATATATGTGTGTTGTGTTGTGGTGAGTGTTCGTACATACGTGTATTGTTCTTAGCGTGTTCCCAGCATTTGGGAAACGCTGTATCTGTAAGCGTTTACATCTGTGAGGTGGTAAGGCTGAAAGCCTGAGGAAAAAGAGAAAGAAGCGAAGGGTCAGCAAATATTTATAGCCAGAGAAGAGAGACCCCTGGTGAAAGGGTTAACAAACCAAGGAGGAGCTAACTCCGACAGTGTTAAAAGAATGTTTTTTTCCTTAACGCCACTTTTATTTTAATTACTTTCTCTCCTTGGCAATGTTTATTGTTTTTAAAAAAGTGATGATTAGAATTGTAATAAAAACAAAGCATATGATGAAAGTGAATTTTTACATGCACACATATAAACATCTATTTCAGGCATGTCTCATTGAATAAGTTACATACGATATGTCTGCTTATTTTGATCACAATCCTTTCATATTCAATATTTTTCCGTATATTACAATTAAATGAGGTAAGAAATGCACTGTAACAGTGAGAATCACTTTTATTATGAAAGTACTTTCCATCTCTTTCTGTGATCATCATCAGGGGTGCAATTGATAAGGCAAAAAACTATGTATATCTATCCATTAATGAATTTTTTCTTTTGCATTTAAATGCTATGGTTGACAGTTATGCTTTAACAGTCATTAAAATGGGAAAAGTTATCTATTATGGAATTTTTTTTTATGTTTGAATGTTACGGCTGAGCATGCACAAATAATTACACATTTGCTACCTCCCCATATAAGAGAGAATTTACTGCCTAAATAAAACACACACACACACACACACACACACACACACACACACACACACACACACACACATATATATATGAGAGAGAGAGAGTGTCCATCCCAAAATATATACAGACTTCACGAAAGGAAAATCTTATCGTAATCAGATCGTAAGTTCAAGATGCGGTTCTATGATGTCATACCACGTGATAGACTGAAGTATTACAACAGAACCAATGTCTAGATGCAATGTAATGTTTTGGGACTTGTTTGAAATGTAATTTTGTTGAGTGTGGGTTGCTTCGTTTTAATGTAAATGGCCTCCAGTGTCTGAAGGTTCTTTTTACTGTGTGTATGTGTGAGTATTATTGTGTTATCAACTAATATCTGTCTAATATGGCTATGTTTTTTTCTAAGAAATGTTGCTTAATAGAACTAAGCTCAGAAACATGACAGGTAAGTCTATGTGAGAGCATGATTGTAGTAAAACCAATATATGTAGATATGTAGCGGGTTTATTGATGATCAGACATAATAGACATTCATTGTCTGTTATATTTAATAAGCTGTTTAAATATGCATATATATATATATGGGATAATGATACATAAGCTTTTATATATCATAAACAGTTTTGAAAGAAAAGATGTATGACAAATTGGAAAAAAAGTTTTTGTGGTGCGTTTCATCCATAAGGACTTCATTGGACTGGCTTTGTTGATGTTGCATTTACACATGCACATGAATGAGAGATGCTGGTAGTTTCAATATGTTTTGAAAGAAATTTATTTTTTTATTTTTATTTTTTTTTAAATCTAGCAAAGTTCATCTATATATTTTCTTTTCATCATCTTTATTAAATACTATAGCATGGCCCGTTGAACTGCCGTGCTTGATTCAAAAAATATCTACGACTCATACAGCAATCGCTATCACTTGACTTAAAATATTTTTGCCCTTCCTTGCTTTTTTAAAGGAGTGGCCTTTGCCGTGCTGATGTTGCTACATGCCTTACTTCTTGCCTATTTCACACTGCAAATTTTTCTAAGCTCTATACTAAACATTAAATATGTTCATAAAAAAAGAACTAAACAAAATGAACACAAAACGATCAGCTTTAAAAAGGATTCGTAACTGGAAAAACTGAATGAAAAAAAAAATGTTAACAACAAATACTTTTTCACACCCAACCCAGTTGGAAATGGAATCAGAATCAACATTGAGTGTAAGCAAGTTTAATGAGTCAATTGGAGTAAAGTGCCATGCAGATTTCAATTTTTTCCCACTTGTGACGAATGCAGCTATCGATTTTCTTTTGCATGCTAGCATGCTAGTTAACATTCATGTCAGTCAGCTGTTGGCTCTCATGCTGGCCAATAGAATCTTCCTGATTATTCGTGGCAGCCAGCTATAGGCTCTCACTCTGGCCAGTAGAAAATGACCGTAAACTACATGAAAACTGCCGTAGAAGCATGAAAAAAATCAATTATTTCCACTATCGATGGTAGTTGGGAAATGCAAAGTCAGTCTTGGCCTTCCTGCTAACTTGGAGCATGTGCATGTAAATTTTGGTGCAAATCCGTCGAAAATTGCGGCCGTGCATTCATTACACACTCACACACACACACACACACATCCTGCCTTTTATAGAAAGAGATCCCACATTGTGATAACAGAAAATCTACCAAGTATGGTGAAAAGCTGTAAGAACCTGGACGTAAATTTACTGTGGCTGAACAAGCGATCAAAATACTTTCTAGACATTTTCATCTTAGTGAATTATTTTCTCTTTTAATTCAAGTAGGATATTTTATGTCAAAATTGTGGTCAGTTTTGTTGTGATGAACAACTCATGAGTTTTGTGTGTTGATTTTTAAAATGTCTTTTGTCTTTATATAATCTTTTATTTAAATTTTTTGAGGCTTCTCCCCTATATTATTTCTGGCAATCATTGCAGTTGATAGAATAAATGCTGCCTTCACGTTTACTCTGAAATAAAACTCATTGAAAGCATTATCTTCCAGGAGAATAAAATGTTGAAAAAAAAAAAAAAGAATGCCTGTCTTTTCCTCTTGGGCCAATTTTTTTTCCTTTCTGCTTTTCAGATCCTGTATGATGATACAAAGTCAAAATTATAGCACAAATTCATCAAAGGTAAATTTAAGTTGTTTTACTTTTCAATATTCTTATATATGCGTGGGTTTGTATATGCATAAAGTAATGGCTGGCCACTCGTACCCGAATATGCCTGTCTATTAGGGTGGCTAGCCAATTCCTGTTCTAGATGCCTACTCAGGCATATTTGTGTTTTTTCAGGGCCCACTTGTGGTTTATACTGCAACTATGCTGAACAGACCTTAGTTACAGTTTCTGGGAGAGAGCGCATTATTCTGGTGTGAATAAGGCCAGTATGCGCAAACCCTCAGTCACGACGACTTGTGACTTTTTGCTAGCACAACTATTGATGACTGCCAAATATTTCCATCTACCTAATTTCACTCACAAGGCTTGGATAAACCCATGTGGTTTTCAGGCACTTTCCAAATGTACCGCATGCTGCCTCCCCAGGTTCATAACATCAAGAAGTCACCTTCCTGATAAATTGACCATGGTGATTCCTCTGTTGATATTTACAAATGCTCTGTCTCCAATAATGAGCTTTCTTTCCAAATAAAGGTAAAAAATTTTAACATATATATTGGAGAATATGATATTAACTAAATCTCACACAAATGGTAGGTGATTGAATAGAAAAATCTTATGTAACATGTTTCATCTGGCAAAAGGACTTCTTCAGACGAAATGACAGGATCTTACTGGCTGCTTGGTCAATAAATACTAAATGTTTTCTTATAAAGAAATGGCTAATATTACTATATGTATGTAGATGGAAGATTGGTAACCTTTTTTTTAGAATTTTGAGGCTTATGGCGGCATCAAATTGAAACATTGTTTCCTGTATCACCAAAGTTAAGCAACTAGTTAGTACCTAGATGGGTGACCACTTGGGAATACTAGATGCTATAAGCTTGGATGTGTAGGTGATGGATAATGGCCTGGAATTATTAATCGGAGAGCTGAGTTCCAATTCCTGTTGGGTTTCTAATATTCACTTACATGCAAATACCTTTAGGAAAGTTATGAATCCACCTCTTCTCCACCCCCAGCTATGGGTTAATTAGTAAAACTTGTATCACTAAACAATTATCTCAAAAAAAATTCTTACAATGTAAAAATATTTTCTGGCTTTAAATAACCAGCAAAAGGTTGATAAACTGTAAAAAAATGAATCAGAATTTTGAACCACACCCTTTATCTACTCTCATGGTGATGGTAGTAGTGAAAGTCACAAACTCTGGTTCAGTGGGAAAAAAAAACAGATAAATAACACAGGGGAACAAAACTGGTGAGTATTATCTGTTATGAAATACCCTTTTAGCATAGAAAGTGAAATCTACCCTGTGTTGATTGAATAAAGGGTTTGAAATTCCAAACTGACAAAATACAGCTGAAGAATACCAGAGGGTACACTGGCCAAAATGGGAGCATAACAATCAAAATGAGGATACTAGTCCAAATAATGAAACTTATATAATTTTTTTTTTTTTTTTTTTTAGTTAATAAAACAAATTATAAACAGATGGTGTAATGGATAGTGGCTCAGAACAAGATATTGACAAGCACTGTTTGAATTTCACTTTAGTTAATTACATTCAATTTTGTGCAAATATCCTAGGGAAAAGTGTGAGTTTTGTCTCTTCTTCCCCCCAGCTTTCACCTCTGCATTCCCAAAACCTAGGTAGGCGGAACTCTGTAGCATGGGAACATGTAGACATTTAAGTGAACAAAAAACAAAAAAACAATCTGTCCACAGAATACAGAGGTTGGGCTTTCGTGATACAATTTGATAAGAGAGTCAAATCCAGAACTGATTATCTAAAGATAGATAATTAAACGTGTGTGATTTCTGTCTGAATTTCTGTGATGAGGAATTATTATTTACACTGCATTTGACTATTTTCCTCATCTTTGTTGTTGTCATCACTATTCCTGGGTATGATGATAAACTGCATCTGGCAGCAAGGCCTCTGATCAGGTGATTGGAGGTTTTGAGGGGCATGGAACTACCTCTTAATTGCTGCTGTTCTCAGATCCACCCTGACCTGGGGTGGTAGCATTTATTAGGGTCCCAGCTATGTGTAAATACAAACAAAGCACCAAGAGAGTATAAAAATACATTCTTATAGTAAAAATAGCAGCAATACATTTTATTTGTTATTGAAGTCATAAAATTGTGTTTAACATATTTAAATTTTGGCATTAAATAACCCATAGAGGTATTGATATGCCACTAAACAAAATCAAACAACCAACATGAAAGAACTCTTTCATGACATTAATCCATATAATATATTACAATTTCTTAAAGAAATCAAACTGTATTTCAAAATATAACTTCAACTACAACATAAAACACACATATCACTGCCTCTAAACATATGCACAAAAGCTGAGTATCATCTACCATGTATTCAATTGTGAAAACAGAATAACATATATTTTTATTACTTCAAAGCACCCAAGAAAAGGAAATTTTGGCATTAAATGACCCATAAGGAGTTGATATGCAGTTATCAACAATTTGATTTGTTTGTTTATCATTAGGCTAGCAGATTAAAGCATTGTTTGGTGAATTTGGTGATATCGTAATTGTGAGTTCGATCCCTGGGCCAGGTAGTGTGTACTTGAAGTCCGTGGAAATGGGGCCAAGCAATAACTGAGCAGTACTAAAAATAAGAACTAGACAATATGCTTAGGCATAGGCAGTGGAATGTGAACAGTCAACTTCTATAGATTAAATAAAGCGTTCAGTTCAGAATTCCCTGTAGGTTACTCAGATCAATATACACCTGATAAAGGCCAAAGGGCACAGCAGTCAAAATGCTGTGATAATAACAACAAAGTTGAGGACAATAGATCGAATGTAAATAACTCTGAGTTTTGAATAACTTGACAAATTCATGGAGTTTGGACAAAAACCAGTTCTGAAATCTTCAAACTGGATATAGCAATTATCATTTGGGGCAATGTTCCGAGAACGCCTATTGCTCACAGTGATGTGTTTAGTTCTGTGTTAATTGATACATAAAGAATGTAACTCCATGATTAAATTTGACAGACATCTGCTTAGAAGCTTTCATAACCTAATTGGTAAGATGTTATCCTGGTCATGTCAGCTCTAAAAGATAAGGACACGAGTTCAAATCTCATCAAAAGTTTACTCTTTATTTCAGTTTCAAGCTAGAATGTAAAAACAACGTAAGTATTTTGATAAAAAGAAAAACTTAACAAGGAAAATTAATGAATGTTTTTTCCCTCCTGCCAACCCTCTGTTCATCATAGCATCAAAACAAATAAGCAGCATTGAAACTACACACGGGACAGTCTGTCCCCTCTTCCACCAAGTGCAGACCGTAACTAATCTTCTTGATCCCAATTGTGATTGTTAATATAGACTAGCAACTGGATATCCTCAATATCTGGCTTTGTTATCACTTGACCCCCAAAGTTTATATTTATTTGTTTCCTTTAGGTCAAGTGAATACCACTTAGAAGACCTGACATCAAAGACATTATCTGCCGGTTATAAAACACAAAACACTTGAGATCGAGTAAAAAATCAAACCTTCCTCTTCTCTGTGGGTTTTCTCTATCATAGTGTCACAGAAGAATTGGCTTTATGTTCTTGAATAAAAGTATTTACATTTTAAATAAAGATTCAGATAAGTTTGAATAACCTTGTATTATTGTTTTTAATTACAATTATTATTTACAGATTAACTTGGCCCAATTTCCAGCTGAATATATTCGAAACTTTTCTGTCATTGCCCATGTGGATCATGGCAAAAGTACGTTATCAGATCGTTTGATGGAAATCACAGGTAAGATATGTGTGGAGTATCTTTTTTGCCTGTAACTCCTAAGTTATCTCACTTGCATCGTCAGTTTATATATTTAAAGAATCCTCTGTGAAAGCCTAAAAATAAAGATTATATACTGTCATTTTTGATGGCTTTGCTCATGATGTATAATCAATCAAACCAAATTATTCCTGGCATGGGGTAATGGTTAATGAGGCCAGTCTGGTTGACCATTATTAGTGTAGAGTGAATTCACCCTCACTGTATGCCTCATAAAGAAATTCATTATCAAATAATCCAAGAAATGTTCACATCATCAAATCAACCAAACTAACTCATTGTGGGGTAAAGGTTAACGAGGCTAGTCTGGTTGACCATGACACTTGTGTAGTGCATTTGATTATTATTGTGTGCTACATATAAAAATTCAACATCAAATAACCCAATAAAGGTTGACATGGTGTTAAATCAACCAACCCAACTCATTGTAGGGTAATGGTTAATGAGGATGTTCTGGTTAACCATTATTATTGTGTAGTGTGTGCCTCATACAAAAACTCCACATCAGTTAAGCCAGCCATTGGTTCCAGTCCAATTATGGGAATGTATATTTCTTATTAAAGAAATAACAATTTTGGCATAAGGCTAAAGGGGAAAGGCTGATCTATACTATCCTACACCTAGCTAATCAGATTCATGACCCATTCATCCATTACAATTTGCTCATTCACCACAAGAACACATCCATCACCATTCAATCCAACATATACCACAAAACCACACCCTCACAAGGGATTGTACTACAATTCATGGTATAAAAATTTCACCATATGTACAAATGTCTCATTTTTTTCCATTTTTTTTCTTACAAAAATAATTAAAAATATGAAATCATGAAATGAGGTGGTGGTGGTGGTGGGGGGGAGATGAACCCAAAAATGAAACATAAAATATAACAAAACATTCAAACTGAAAAAAATAAAATATGTTAGTATGACCCGTCCACCCCACAGAAAAATAAGAGCAACTGCTGTATTCTGTCAATAAGCAGAATCAAGAAACTCATTCACTAAAGGCTTCACTTGTGGGAATGATTGCAAAATAGGCAGAAGCACACAAATGCATGCTGGGATTTCTTTCTAGCCAATAAAATAGTTCAGTTCTTGGTTTCATCTGACTCAGTCCTGGTCTGTCTTGTCTTGAAGTCAGAACACTATGTTTGCTTATTCGAATTTTCTCTTGTGTATCAATCCCAGTTTGTGAACTTTTTACCATATTACTGTTGTTTGGCCTTATTACTGTTAATTTGCTTTGCATATATTATTTGCTTGCTTTAAATTATTTTTTGCCCTGTTCTTTTCTTGTAAATGTTTATTTGCAAACTTTGTCAATTCTGTTTGTTAAGCAGTTTATTTACATTTAACCATGGCCACTTACTCAACACTAACATTAAATATGTCATATAATCAACTCTTCTAACCTAACCAAATATTTCCAAGAGATTGTTGATGTGCTTTACTGGTGTTTTTCATGGCATTTCTCTGGCCAGAAGAAATTACTTACTCATCACCTTTTCAAATAGCATGTAACAGGCTGTAGTGGGAAATCTGAAATTGCATTGTATTTATAAAATATCAGAAAAATTTTCTTTTATCTTTTTGTTCTAATTCCATGTGCCATGCATTTTTTGGATATCTCACTCTCAGTTAATTCCTTTTAGTAACTCAACTCTCCAAGTTTTTATTGCCTCTGCTGTGGCCAGGTATTGAACTCACAACTCTTTGGGTCAAGTCTCTTTTTGGACTACTCAAACGTTTTTATCTACCCCGTGGACTAAATAAAGGGTTTGGTTTGAAATTCCTATGTATATCACCTGAAGAAGATCAGAGCATACAATGGTCGAAATGTCGTGAACATAGCAATAAAGATGAGGATAAATGTTGAAATGATGTAAATAGTTCCTCTTCTGTAATTCCAGTTTTTAAGAACTCTGGCAAACCATCTGATCCTTCACATTATCGATCCATTAGTCCTCCTTGGTGGGAGAAACCGTCATTAGATCCGACATGCTGTGGACTGTCTCTGCCACAGTTTGTCAATAATCAAGCAAAGTTTGGATAGTGCCTTATAAATGCAAATCTTTCTCAAACTCCTTCTTGATTGTTGATGCTCTCCATGGCCGAGACAGTCTAAAGCACTGCCAAATCCTACCAGAAGGTGCATTTTTCTTTAATAAGATTTCTCGAATATTCGGGCCAGTAGATGAAAATAAATAGATATACTGTTTAATAAATAAATGCAGTGTCTACTCAAATATAGGTATCCACTAAAAATAACGTTTAAATAATGTTAGATTAAAAAATAAAAGTATATTACTTCTTTATTGACTAATAAGAATAAGAGACTAAATATCTTGTGGACATTGTTACTGTTTATTCAACTCTGAACTTTGACGATTACTGTCTGCGTATGGCTTCGGCTCAGTAAGATAGAAGAGATTCTCTTTATCTTCTCTCTCAGGTAAGTACTTATATATCTACCTGTCATCTGGTTTTGTCTGACGTGTGCACATCTTAGGCACAGTTGGGTTGACCATCTGTTTACATGTTGGAAGTAGCCACTAACATTTACTGAAGGCACAGAGTTGTACTTGCTGGGTAGGAGGTAATCTCTCATGTCTTCTCAGATGGACATTGAGTTCAACGTCTATTTTTGCATCATCTGCGGTGACTCACATACTGCACAATTCATATTAAAAAAATCTCTAAGCTGAAATATTTGTTATTTTATTCAGGAACCATTCCAGCCTCAAGTAAAAACAAACAAGTTCTGGATAAACTGCAAGTTGAGCGAGAACGTGGCATCACAGTGAAAGCCCAAACAGTATCACTTCGCCATGTTTACAAAGGCAAAGAATACCTGCTCAACTTGATTGATACTCCTGTAAGTTTTACTTTTCCATTGTCATAAGTGCTCTTTGTGATATTGCAAAATAAAGGTAACATTTCTGAGTTTGATTAATATACATGCACAATGACTACTAGAAAAACAAAAACTTGTAACATTATTTTGTTAAAGGAATGTCTCCATTAAAAAGAAAATATCTATCATCAAAGACGTCAGTGTTATTCACTCATTTTAGCTATAAAAATATTACTCCCAAAAATAAAAGCAAATTAGTTTGGTATTTGATGCTTCAACCAAAATAATTTAAATAATTTAAGATTGAAAGTCAAAGAATCTGATCTGAAATGGTATGTTCTCTGTTACTATCAGTTGAGGTTTGAGAGCATCAAAAACATCTATTACTATACAAATCTTCACTGCAGACACACACACATGCATACATATAAGCAGTATAAGTAGTATTATTTTTCATATTAACAGAAAATATCAAAAATAGTTTTGAAATTATATTTGCAGAAAAAGTAAAAAATGCTCTTGAGATTATAGCAAAAAATGTCAAAAATGCTCTTGAGATTATAGCAGAAAATGTCAAAAATAATCTTGAGATTAAAGCAAAATATGTCAAAAACTCAAAAATGGTCTTGAGATTATAGCAGAAAATGTCAAGAATGGTCTTGAGATTATATATTGGCAGAAAATTATTTATAAGGGTCATAAATCAGTCTTGCAAGTAAATCAAAAGTGTCAAAAATGCACATCCCAACTCTTAACACATAACTGCCTACTTCACCCTCAAAAGCCAAGCAATTTACCTGTGGTCCAAAGTAGCATTCTTTTATTGGTGTCTGAAAAGTTGTGAATTGTTGAGACATTATGTAAGCACAGTTATCATATTTTAAAGTCTATTAAAGTCAACCTGATTTTGATTCTGATTTTTTTTGACAAATAGCAGAAAGAACACAAATTTGTTTTCGAGCTAAGACTTGCTTTTCTCTTCTATTACCAAAATATAATTCAATTGCAGAAAAATTGACACAGAGAATGTGAAAGGTTGACCACCTTGGCTGTGAATAATGTGATGCAGTTGGCCTCTCTTTTATGTAAAAAATAAATTTCAGTAAAAAAATTATAAAACAAGAAAATATGATTTAAAATTAAATACAGAAAGGTAGATATTCATATTTCTGTGTATTTCTTTTTTTTTTTTTTTTAGGGCCATGTTGATTTCAATTATGAGGTGTCTCGATCTTTAGCAGCTTGCCAAGGAGTTTTGCTCTTAGTCGATGCCAATCATGTAAGTATTTTTTGGTAAATTTCCCTTTGTTTTACTGATTTTTGTTAAGCAATACATCTGTATACACAGTGGCCTAGGATGGGTTTTGAGTGCCTGGGATAATTTTTAAAAATTGCTCCTCCTCCTCCTTAGTCAGGAGCTGTTATAAATTCTAGTAATTTTTCTTATGCAACAATTTTTTGTGCCCCTAAAATTTTAACACCTAGGGCAATCACCCTGTGTATATACACTTGAAACTTATTTTCATTTCATTCGATATTTTGAAACTTGAGATAATTTGAGCTGAAAGTAGAAAAATATTGAAAATTATCAAATTTGAAATTTATCTGTCCAAAAATGGATATCATAAAAATTTTATAAAAAATGCATTTGATAAATTAATTATAGGACAGACTGTTCATGTCTGATGTTGTGCATCTGTTGTCTTCTTTTTAATGTCTGCACAATTTCCTGTACTTTGTAGCACTTTATATTGTTTTTTGTCATTTTACATAAACAGTGCAATATTGTAACTTTCCAGTAACCTTTAAAATAATGTTCTATCATAATTCTACAGTTTGGTTTGTTTTGTTTTACAGCATATCAACCTCAATGTGTTATATAATGCCAACAAAATTTTTATTGCTGGTAATTTTTTTTTTTCCAAAAATGTATTGCTGGTAATATTTTTTCTTCAAAAATCTATTTCTGGGAATATTTTTTCTTCAAAAAATGAGAAATGTAAACCTCTCTGTATTGCTGGTAAGATTTTTTTTTTAAAATGTATTGCTGATAATTTTTTCCCTCAAAAATTTATTGCTGGTAATTTTTTTGCAAAGTATTTCTCCTAATAAAACCTATTTTTACACTTACATATTATTTTGACTCCAGTTTGGGCGTTAACTATTTGGCCTTAGCTAGGGACCCTAACAGGTGCTACCACCCCGGGTCAGGGTGGACCTGGGAACACCAGCAATTAAGAGGTGGTTCCATGTTCCTCAAAACCTCCTGATCAGAGGCCTTGCTGTTGGACATAGTTTATCGTCTTACCCAGGACGGAATTGCACAGTAACTATGCTTTTACTATATGTGTATATTCCATAAAATTCCATTATGTGCCATTAAACCATAATTACCATCATGAAATTGTGCAGATGATGTGATGGCTGCTTGAGTTAAACGGTACTTCGGTCATTGTTTACACTTAGTGTATCAACTGTTGCATGTAAAGTGTGTTGTAGCATTAATAGAATACTGAATTTATGGTACTATTTTATTATTTTATATTTCTGTGTTAACATGCCAAATATGTTTACCAAACAAGTTTTAGTGGGATATACATTTGTGTGCAAAAGTAGGTATACAGTAATGAAAAATAAAATGTGCATACAAAATGTATTGTATTGATTATACAAACATAACAATAATAACCATATTAATCCCTCAAATGTTGAAACTGTTTGACCCCGTCATTCACACACTCCTCTTTATCTGCAAAATATTATTAAAAAATAAAAATTATAATAAATATGAATATAAAAATATTTTAATGAATTCTAGTATAAAATGAATCCTAGAACCATTATTATAATATTGGTTAAATACGTGTATACCTACTTTTGCAGCCCCCTATATTTGTGGCAGCCTGCTTGGAGGCATCGTAAGTGATGTACAGTAATTGTTAGGAATGTTGTCCCACTTGTTTACAACTTGGTAAAGTTTTGCATTTTATAGCCACCATATAAGTCAAGCCTTAGTTTTGGAAAAACTTTTCAGGTTTGAAAACTTGTATGTCACAATTTATAGTATATTTTTATTAAAAGATCTATCACAATTATACATCAATGTTTCTGTTATTTATGAAAGCATTTTTAAACACTTTCTGAACAGTGGAAAAAACTCTTATTCTTGTCCATGTCTTTTGTTGAAGGGAATACAAGCGCAGACTGTAGCTAATTTTTATTTAGCATTTGAAATGGAGAAAACCATCATCCCAGTATTGAATAAAATTGACTTGAAGGGGGCTCAACCTGATGTGATAACCAAACAGTTGGAAACTGTGCTTAATATCGAACCAAGTGAAGTTCTGAAGGTAGGACAGAACTTTTTATATTAATGATTACTAGCAATGATATCTCACATTGAGTGGGCCAGATTTTTTTCCTTTGCTCTTCTAGGCTATGGCGTCATTGCTTTGAGAGATTAACAAAATAGTCATAATTAAAGCAAATTAATAGGATTAAACATTTTGGCAGTTTTACTCTTGTCCTCATTTTTATTATTGTATCCACTACGTTTTGGCCATTGTACGCTCCGGTCTTCTTCAGGTGACATATGTTGGAATTTCGACCTGAACCCTTTATTTAGTCCATGGAGGTAGATTTTGGTAGGTTTTATTTCATTGCTTGTACGTGTCATGGTGCAATGGTAAGTGTAGTAGTAATCAAATAATGGTTACAAATCCATCATTAAACTAAGTGAATCAAATAATTATTTACAAGGGTCGGCTGAAAAGTTCATAGGCTGACAATGAAGGAGGGATGTTACAGTTGTGAAATCTTGCATACATTAATTTCAGCTCTGCTCTATTAAGAACTACATTGTTTCTCTCCAGAAAAACAGACATCTGACTGTTCAAAGAAGACTTAAAATATAACAAGTAGTGACTTCTCTTGAAAATAGACAAAACTAGGCATTATGATGTGATCAAGTACCTGCAGAAAAAGGACTTAGTCCCCAAAGACATTGATGCTGACATGGTTGCTACATTATGGGATGACATCCCAGTTTTTTATCAACAGTGCAAAAGTAGGCAGCTAAATTTAGGAGGGGAAGAGAGAATCTTGAAGATGAACCAAGGTTTGGACGTCCAGTGACTGACACCACCAAGAAAAACATTGTGTTCACCACATAGTGATGGATGACAGGTGAAGTTGGTCACTAAACTTTAAAAAAAAATATGCCAAGATCAAAAGAACTTCCTGAAGCTTTAAAAATCACATAATTGAAGTCTATAATGATGGAGATGGCTACAAAAATCTATCAAAATGATTTGGAGTGCATATCTTCACCACATGGCAATTATTTATAAATGGAAGACTTTTGCTATGGTGGCATCGCAATCAAGAAGTGGTCATCCGCAAAAAATAACTGCAAGAGCAAGTTGACATCTTGTTCGGCAAGCCCAAGTAAATACTGCTGTGACCTCTGCAGTTCTCCAAGACTCTCTGGACAATGTCGGAATTAATGTGTATACATCAACAGTGAGGAAATCTGAATGGTGCCATTCTTCAGAATGCCTAGAAAAAAACCACTGCATACAAACAAGCTCGGCTCTACTATACCTTATATCTTATATTAATAAGCTGGAAATGTTCTGGCAAAAGGTTTTATGGTCAGATGAAACCAAACTAGAACTTTTTGGGAGGAATGATGGGCAGTATATCTGGCAAGTTTCGAAAACTGCTTTCGAAGAGAAGAATTTGGTGCTAACACACGCACACACACAATGGATTCTCGTCTCATTTTCGACATACAAAAGTACAGTAACTAGAACCAAACAGCCCGACTACCAGTACATATGATTTGATTATAGTGGTGAAGGCTTGTACAGAACCAACCACAATTTTCAGAAGAACCAAATACAAAGAACTGGTGCAAACAACCCTCCCTCTCACCTGCAGAATGACATGTCACAAAGACTGAGCTGGTTTAAATGCCAACCACTCATCAACGTGGCAAGTTTTACTAGGTTACATATCAGTAGCAGATCTGACATGACCTGAGATCATTTAACTCTAATTACGACTCACTGGATTACTCCCCACCATATGTAACCTTTGACCAGACTTGCTTAATAAATACTGATAATTCTTCTTGGTGTATGATATTCTTTGGCAACACATCTTCTTTTAGGTGCTGTGTCTCTTCAGGACATAGGTGTTCATGGCTCTCCACAATTTCCTGGTCTTTGTAACTCTTAATAAATTTTGACTTTGTCTCTCTCCCCTAAACCATACTCTGCTATCCATTTACTCATGTTCACTGGGTAGGTTATGCATTGTTTTCCTCTTTCTTGCCTTCAAACTGTCCTGTGAGTGTCAAATTTTCTTAGCCGTCTTTCCTTATGTTCCCTAGAAATTTTAACTCTCTCTTCCTTATTTTAAGTATAAGCATCCTTTTTGTTTCCATTTTCTTTAAAACTTTGTCATTGTTCACATGTTTGGTCCAGGGTATTCTCAGCATCCTTCTGTAGAACCACATTTATGTTGCATCAAGTAAAATATGTCACTTAATACAAATTTGTACAAATGGAAAGTAGCTGAGATTTTTAGACACTAAGAAAATGAAATTTTTTTTTTTTTTTTTTTTTTTTGTTCCTGTTTCCCCATTTTCTGCTACTTATTTTCAGGTGTCAGCCAAACTTGGAACCGGTGTCTCAAAATTACTTGATGCTGTAATTGAGCGCATTCCTCCGTAAGTAGCTTCTTGTTTATCTTTGAAATTCTATCAAGATTGGAAAAGTTAATGAGTTATTAATTGTTAAAAAAGTTTTGGTGGAGGGGGGGGTTGAGGGGTGTACAAAACTTTATTAATGCTATCCAAACTGACATTAAAGTTTTATATATATAAAAATAACAAACAAAGGTCAGAAGAGCAAGAATAATAAAAGAAATCACTGTAAAGACGTGAGTTGGGACGATAACAACAATAAACAAGAAAATAATGAAAAAGAGTTTAACCAGTTTTTGATCCTCACTCTTCAGAGGCAAATAGAAGACAAACATGTAAATTCTGTGCACAACATTTAAAAAAGAAAACAATAAATTATGAACTGCCAGAAAATCAGCAGAGGAACAAGGAAAAACATATGTATGAGATGAGTTCAAAAAGTATTTATGTCCTGGGTATAACAATAAACTATATCTGGGGTAAGACGGTAAACTATGTCCAACGGCAAGGCCTCCGATCAGAAGGCATTGAGGAGCATGGAACGACCTCTTAATTGCTGGTGTTCCCAGATCCACCCTGACCCGGTGTGGTAGCACCTGTTAGGGTCCCAGCTATGGGCAAATAGTTAAACCCGAAGCTGGGGTAAAAACACTATGAAAGTATAAAAATAGGTTTTAGTACCAGAAATACTTTAAAGAATTATTACAAGCAATAAATTTTTGAAGAAAAAAAACTATTACCAGCAATAAATTTTTGAAGAAAAAAAACTATTACCAGCAATACATTTAAAAAAAAAAAATATTACCAACAATGTTTTTAAAAAATAAATATTACTAGCAATACATTTTTCAGGAAAACTTATTACCAGCAATACTTTTTTGAAAAAAATTATTACTAGAAATACTTTTTTGAAAAAAATTATTAACAGCAATACATTTTTGAAGGAAAAATATTGCCAGAAATAGATTTTTGACAAAACAAAATATTACCAGCAATAAAAATTTTGTCGGCATTAAATAACCCATTGAGGTTGATATGCCATAAAACAAACCAAACAAAATCAAAAAGTATCTACCCTTTGAGCATAAAAAAAACAATATTGTACATTTCATAAATTTTATTTAATCACCTGCAAAATACTCCCCTTGGGAGTTCACACACTTCTCCAGGCTGATTAGTACCTAACTGGTTGACCTCTTGGGAATGTCAGGTGTAAGTTTGGATTTGCTGGTGGTATAATGGATAAAGGCTCAGAATTGGAAATTGGAGATCTGACTTCCCATTTCAGTCAGGTTATATTCACTTACATGCAAATACCTTTAGGAATGGTATGAATCCACCCCTTCTCCCACTAGCTATGGGTTAAATAGTAGGACTTGTATCAGTAAATCATTATCTCTCAAAAAATTCTTCAAATCTAAAAATATTTTCTGGCTTTAACTAACATACGAATGTTTGATAAGATGTAAAAAAAAACGAATCAATGAACCAAAAAACCTGTTGCTTCTCTTACCTTTGATATGTTCTGATGTTCTGCAAGTATTAAATTCTTCATTTTTTTTTTCCTTAAAACTTCCTCATTGATCACATGTTCAGTTCATAGTATTCTTATTATTTGTTGGTAAAATCATATGTTACTTCAGATCTTTTTTTTTCATCTGTGAGAAGATTGTTCAGTATTCAGGGGATATAATCTCCTGAATACTGAATGATAGGTTGGTGTAAAAATAAATTGATGTTTTTAGCTGTTAAATTTGAAGCCAGAGATCTCGGCTTAGAATAAAAATTATTAATTGAAATATACAAATCATTAAAGTTGATGCATTGTTGCCAACAATTTTTAGTATTCAGCTAGCATGGAATTCTGAAGAACCTGGAACCAATGAATTCTTTGAAGGCATTTTAAGCTAATACTGTTTGGTTGCTGAACTTCCTTGCAGGAACCTTTACCCCACCAAATTCTTTCTAGAATTGTTCCCTCTTCGACTTTCTTTTTTTGAGGTTGCAGAAAACACGAGCACCCACTCCATTAAAATTGTTACGACTTTCTTTCTATTGTTTGTATGGGTTTTATTTTTTGTATAGTAATAAAAAATGGATGAGTAATATTTTGGTGTAATGCATTACATTTTGCATGTATATTTTGACGTTAAAAACAAATACATGAACAATTTAACTGTTGTGGATTCCGAGATGAAATCCAGTCTCCAATGAATGACAAACGCAGGAATGAAATATAACAAATAAATGTATTGACGTAATAATACAATTGGTAATATGGTTAGTAAATCCAGAAATGCGGTTAGTAGCAATAATAACATATATACAGTCTGGGAAATTCAGTATCGAAGTAGGACTTCCTTCTGAGTCTATGTGCTCGTAACTGTGACTCCTACAAAGCGGTTACCTCACACTCTCACTGTATCACTCCGTCTCTGTTACTCCCAGGTATTCAATAGCAGCAATACAAGTACACACTGGTCGAGTCCACTTATATGAAAAAGGGGTGGACCCCATAACATTAACATACTTTAATTTTTATTACTCCTTGTGGAGTTTTGGGTTGCAATAAGAAGCCAAACAGTTAAGAAGGCTTTCGTTTTGCGAAAAGTAATGTTCTTCCATGTGTTTACAAATAAGTAGGCACCAGAATTTGTTTGCTCTTTCTTTCACCTGAATAGCATATTTGTTTGTCTTGTTGAAAAATAAAGCTATTATTTTGTTGTTTATGAACAGATGAAATAATTCACCTTCAGAAAGGCTATCAGGTACATCCATGGGGCCAGTAGCTTCCATAAAATTAGTCAGCCATGGATGATAGTAGCCGCTTGGTGCCTAGTGGTCATCATTGCTCTCTTCCCCGTCGCTAGTGTGGGTATCATCTCCGACCACTTTACCATCAGTATCTACTTGGGTAAAGCCTTCAAATTCCTCATCGGAATCCGATTCAAAGAAAACCTCCCGAATAAAAGCTTCATTAGATGTTGATGTGGCCATTTTTGTTTACAAAAAATTATGGAAAAATGAATGTGGGTTTAATTGATTAATTAAACCTCATGTAGAGTGTAGAAGAATTCAAAATGGCGTTGAAAAATGAAAGTTTAGCCTTGTTCTAAAGCAGTAGTAAGCTATTTCCAGCTGAAAATACTGGACATAACAGCTGACAAATGTTTATTTATATCAACCCTCTCAAGGTGACAGAATAAACCTAGATCTGCAAAGAGAGAGAGAATTCTATGGCAACAATATTTGGCTCCAGATAGATAAAGGTTATGTTGTTTTAAAGAATGGTTGCTGATTGGGGAGAGGTCTAAAGTAAGCTGTGTGAAGAGTTTGATAGGCCAGTTTATTCAGTTCTGTTAAATCATCTCTGAGAATCTGATGTCTGCTTGTTCTGGTCTTTTTTTGATTATTCAGTGTTGGATGTAAACATTGCAGGTCTTGGTGCATTTTGTCAATTTCATGGTAATACTTTTCTGCTGTGATGGTTATCAACAATATTCAAGAAAATTTCAGTTAAAGCTATAAATCAATGCATAAAAATTTATTGTCTAAGTTGGATATTACAAAGTTGACGTTCAAAGTCAGATTTTGTAATTGACCTCTGGCAATTGGTGTTTTAAAGGAATTTTAACTTTTTTGCTAAATGATAAAATAAATCTTAAGTTTTTGATTCTTTATTTGGTTTCCTTTTTACAGGCCTCCAAGTGATCTTCAAGCTCCCTTAAAAATGGTAACCTTTGATTCCTGGCATGACCGTTTCCGAGGAGCTGTTGTAAATATTGCAGTTCTTGATGGAGTAATTTCAAAACGTAAGATTACTTATCTTTGTCTACAATTGTATTTATTGCTGTTTATGCTGATAAAGTTATAGAGGGCATTTTAGCTACGATTTGTTTCATCGGCCCTGAGGTAGCAATACCCCTAGCTACAAAAATATGAATAGAAACATGGATTTATAGAGCAAATAATAACATTTATTAGGCAGAACACTGGTGCTGTTGAAAAGAAAAAGGATGAGTCTCTGTCAGAGCAATTAGTTTGTTGTGGTTCAGCAAACATTGGTCATAAATCACATGTGTAAGCTTTAGTCTGAGAGTAGTGAATTAAATTTATGGCACCACTGTGAAATGTGGATGTGTCATTCCTGGTCAGATGATGTTGTTGCTCCTCTGTCACCATACCACTTTGCCTAAATACTAATTCTACTCTGCTTATATTGGTAGAGATAGACTCAACTTGCAAACAATTTTGGATTCTCAATCTGTTTGATTGCTAAGTGTTGTATCCTTAATTCTGGTTTGCTGGTTTTGTTATTTTACTGAAACTACGTTGTTTATGTTATGGCATGTAAATATCTAAGTTAACTAATGCTACATCTGTCCATGAATGGGAAAATATCTTTTAGGTTTTTTGAGGTACAATAAAATAACATGTTTGTCATAAAAAGAGCGACTTATCATGATTGCCCATTCTTGCAGAATATAGATACCTGACAAGCATAAATAGATTAGCTATTTTGATGCAAGAGCTTTTTTACAACCCTAATAAACATTTATATGTCCAGGGACCAGAAAAAGCAAATCAACACTTTTATTTTGAAATCAAAACTTTTAATCAATAATCTGAAACAACTTAGGTAAAAGGTAACATAAGAAAAAAAGCCAAAGAAAATACTTTAATGACTGAATAATGACACTATGAATTTATGTGAATAAAAGAATGAAATGGTGTTAAGAAAATATACAAAGAAATATTAGATTTGTTAATGACTCTTCTCAAAATTGTAATGTTAACAACATTAAATATATAACAAAGAAATTTGGGTGTCCAAACTATTGGATATGTTAATGACTCTTCTCAAAATTATTGACATGATTTCAAACAAACGATTAAGAAGGAAACCCCCATCAATACCGGAAAGACCGATAACAGCTACTGGACTTGAGAAGCCTATTTTCCAGAAAAATTGTTTTAAGAGAAAGAATTTAAAAATTCCAATTATAATGACAAATGTTTCCTTATCAGGAAACAGCTAATATTACCATCACTATCTGTTAATTCAACAACTTATATTTAATAAGACTTGGTATGTTGTTAGATTAAGAAAGCTAGCTAAGTTATTAGTTGGGATTTCATAATACATTATACTTATTAATTATTATTTGACCTTTAATAATTTATTGTATTTGCTTATTAATTATTATTTAGCATTTGATAATGCATTAGTCTTGTTTTTTTTATTTACGCTATTTACATTGTTTGGACTGTTATCCTCATTTCTGTTGCCGTATTCACAATGTTTCAGCCTTTGTGTACTCAAGCTTTCTTCAGGTGATTGAAATTTCAAATTAGACCCTTTATTTCATCCATCAGGATAGATTGTACAAGTTCCATGTGCCAGGCTTCTTCCGAATATCTCAGTATCAGTTATCTCCCTTTAACTCAACTCTCCAAGTTTTTTTGTTCACCTCTGCTGTAGCCAGAAACAAATTGAACTCACAACTGTTTGGGTCAAGTCACTGGATTCAACCAATGCTTTATTGAGTTGTGAATTCAATACCTTTTGAAAAATATGGTTTGAAGTCTGAACTCCATCTTAGTAAGCTTATCTGGGTATTAATTATAGTGACTTTAAATTTTCTGTCAATTTCTATTTGGTTATATGCCAATTTCAGGTTAATCTTGGTAAAGTATTTCATGACTTGCCATTTCTATGTTAGGTAAGGGGAATGAATCATTTGCTTGTAGCCATGTAATATTATACATGCCTTCAATTAATCTTAGAAGGATCATCTCTCTCGAACCCAGATTTTTCAAATTTGCAATATCTTAATGCTTCTTTCAATCTGTGTAAATATTGCATTACAGCTTCATTTGGGTTCTGTCTATTTTCCAGAAATTTTGTTCTCTTTGCAATAATCAGCTTTTTTTTTTTTTTTTTATTATTATAATGGTTGAGATTTTTCATATGTTAAGTCTTCCAGTATTTTGGGGTACACCATAATGGATATTTTCTTTATGGCTTCACATCCTGCCAAAGCCAAAAATAAATCAGTAATTCCATTCTCCCCTCCAGAGGCTTTCATGTCTTTCCGTAACTGTACCCTAGCTAACACTGCTAAACATCAAATACGTGTTTTTTTATATGCTCTGGTTCATCCAACGCAGTTAGGAATCCTATCAGCAATGCCATAGTGTTATGAAGTAGGGTACTCTCTGGAATAGATGTTGTCAGGTTAATAGATGGTAGCTCAACTGGCATTTGCTGTGGCATACTGCTTTTATAGCAGTACCTCATTTACATATAATACTACAAATGCATTATACTTGCTTCTTAATTATTATTTGACATTGGATTTTGAATGATATTTTTTCTTAAACATTTTTCCCTGAAGTATCATTTCTATTACATATACAAATCTATTAGAATAAAAATAATTTCAAGAACAAACACTTCAGCATTTGAATCGGCCATTATTTCAGTTTTCTATTTCCTTGTGAGATAGTGTTTTATTGCTTATCAGACTGTCCTTTTGTCAGCTTTAACAAACTGCTGAATTAGTATTTGGTTGTGAGAATTTTCTCAAATCTCAATGGACTGGAAATATTGACCCTTAATTTTACTCAAGTTTGCAAACAAGCATTAGATTTAAAATCAAATTGCTTGTGATTGTTTTTTGTTAATATTAACTTTCGGTTTTCAGTGTATTTAATTTGTCATATATTTTATGTATTTCTTAGGAGATAAAATAACATCAGTTGCAACACAGAAAAATTATGAAGTCCAAGAAATTGGAATTATGTATCCAGAACAGGTTCCCATGGAAAAACTGTGAGTATGTGTATGTATATATATATATATATATATATATATATAATGAAGAAAGATTGTCCATGTCTTTGTTATAATATGTAGATATAGTAGACTGATTTAGGGGGAAGGGGAAATTATCTCCATAAAAAGTCATACTTCATTTTTGATTTCTCATGTTTGAAAATTCTGATTTTTAACATCTTTTTCATCATGCTTCCATTTATTATACAATAAATATTATTTGTTTTATCAATATTATTATTTTTGTTGGTTTTTTATCTAGTGAATTTCTTTCATCAGCCTACTCTATCTATCTGTCTATCTATCTATATATATATATATATATATATATATTATAAATTAATTGATTTAAAATATGGTTTTTTTCCGCTACACAGTTCTAACCATGTTTCAAAAATAGAAGCTAAAAGCCCCGAATTTAATTTTACAATTAAATTAATGCTTTTAATTTAATTGCAAAATTAAATTCGGGGCTTTTAGCTTCTATTTTGAAAACATGGTTAGAACTGTGTATGAAAAAAACATATTTTAAATCAATTAATTTAATATTATGCTCTGTAAATTTACATTGAACACTATTTTGTAAAAAATAAAAATATCTATAAGAACACCGGATTATATATCTTACTGTTCTTTCTTTTTATTTATATATATATATATATATATATATATATATATATAGTTAATGAAGTTATTTGGTAATCCAGAGAGCTCAATGTAAAAACTCAGCAAATATTAATTATATTAAAAAACAGACAACTTTAAGGGTTCATGGGATTATAATTATAATAGTCTTCAGACTGGGATTTTGGTTATAAATTCTTCAGATCTCCATTTTCATACAAAATTTGCAAAATTCTTCAGATCTCCATTTTCATACAAAATTTGCAAAATTCTTCAGATCTCCATTTTCATACAAAAACTTTGTATGAAAATGGAGATCTGAAGAATTAGGACCAAAATCTCAGTCCTAAGGGAATAAATTAAAGTTGTGTTTTTTAATATAATTAATTTATATGTGTGTGTGTGTGAATTTTCAGACAGTGTATCTGTAAAGGAACAAAATGAATAAAAAGACAAGAGGAAAAACTATTAGCCAATGTGTTTCATCGTCTGAGGGACATTTGTCTTCCTAAAGTCCCTCAGAGGACAAAACTCGCCTGCTAAGAATAGGTTTTTCTCTTGTCTTTTTATTCATATATATATAAATGAAGTGTCTATTCAAATATGGGTATCCCCTAAAATAACATTTATGTAATTATATATATATATATATATATATATATATATATATATATACACACACACATACAGGTAAGATGAGAACAAATAGCGTATATTTCCAACATTTGTAACATTTAAAAGGGCTCAATACAAAGTAGAGCAACATTCTATATTTTAGGACATTACATCAAAAACATGTCAAAATCACTACACAATTGCTGTCGTGTTTCGATGTGCATACAACGCATTTCATCAGGTAATTGTAAATTACTGGCATGTGAACGATTTAATCTGACTTAGAAGCAAAATGCAGCCTCATTTTTATGAAAAAAAGAAAGAAAAAAAAGAGGGAGAGTGGTTATAATGTTTGTGGGCTTTGCTTAGTTCAACCAGTCAAATATAACCTACATTAAATTTAAACTAAGGGAAGAAGCAAAAATTAAGAAATTATTTTCCATAAATGGGTCATGACCCATAGGTTTGAAATCCATGACAGCAACAGCTGTTAAATAGAAGCAGATGTGAATAGATACATATTGTACATTTAGACAATGTCATTTCCTAAGAAAAATTAACAAAACAAAAATAGTATATTTATTTTTGTCTATTGGCTTGAATATTCAAAAAATCTTATTAAAGAAAAATATGTGCTCTCTGGTAGGATTAGAACCTGCATCCCCTTGGTCAAGGGAATCTTGTTAGATTTGACATCCTTTAGACCTCTTAGCTACAAAGTGCATTGATGATGAAGCAAAGATGAATAGTGCCTTTAAACACAAATCTTTCCCCGACTCTCAAAATAACCTTTGACACTATAACTGGTGTCAAAGGTTGACTGGTGATCTAATTTTCATTTCTAAGAAAGGAAAAATATTTTTCATGCCTAAACAATGCCATACTATGAATTTTCGGGTTTGTGTCACTTTTGGAGTTTATTGTGAGGGGTGAAATTGTTAGTTTGGGTGGGATTGGTTGTTAGGTACAATCATAGGTCTCTTTAACTTGAGTATTGTTTTCATTTGATAAAGGAATTATTCATTGAAATAAGTGACACAAAGCAAATCTTTACAGGTCAGGGTTGTTTTGATTAGGGATATGACACACTGTAGGATGTAGGTGACGGTGACACCTGTGATAATCAGGTCAAATGTGGGTGATATTCCAGGATATGAGTGATACAAGGCCCCAATTTTGATTGGCCCGCCAATGAGAGAGAGGCTGGGATGGAGCTTCTCATCTCCCTCTCCAATACTTATGACACAGGGCTATTATTTTGATGGACCACCAATCACATTGGGTTCTTGGGAGCTTTACTTCCTTCCCTTCAAGGTGTATGACACAAGACCATTGGTCAAGTATTATTATTGGCTAGCCAATCAGAGCAGTGCAATTGGGGTTTGACACCCCCATAAAAGCAGTTGCTAAGATTGAACTGGTCTCATCAGTAGTAGACCAACTCTCCCTGCCCAATGACTGTGGTACCTAAATAAGCTAAAGACCTGCTCTGGATGCCAGTTTTTGAACTACCTCAATCAGCTGCCTTCATTTAAATAGTTGAATGACTCTGGACTGTTTAGCCTTAACTGCAACTACCAGTAAACCTCTTCCTCCCAGCTTAAGAATTCCTTATATGGAGAAACTTCTTCAATTCTCTTTTGTTTATGTATTCATGATCTTAATCAATCATAGTACCATAAATAAAAGTTGTTATTTTTACACTTGTTAATGAGTGTTGTTGAAATTAATTAAGTTTACTGGTGACACCAGTGACTTTAGTCTTTCACAAGTATAGCCAGGACAGAAAGGAGTCAAGCCTGATCTTCGACAGTTTTTCACCAATATTCCTGTGAATACTGAAACGCAACATGGGTATCAGGATTGGTGCAGAACGGGCTCGCTAGAGACAGACCAATGGACAAAGACCAAAGTAAAAGTGACATTCAGTGAAGTATACTGCAATAGGGCCACAATACATTTCAGTTCAATTTCATATCTTAACAAACAAAGCAATTTCTAAAGAAGTGGATTTTTGTGGGTCATCTATTTCAACTAAGGGTATCCACTAAGAATAATGTTTGAAGTAATAAAAATGTCAGATTAAGAATAAACCTATAATTGTTTTAGAAATTGCTTTGTTTATGTTTCAAATACAAAACTAACTAATGTGCTTTTGAGAGAAATAATCTGAGGATATGTGCTTTCCATAAAAGGGAAAATAGAACCTTCCTGTGCTATTTACTCTCTGTGGCCAAGTGGTCTAAGGTACATTGGAGCAAATGGTGCTTTCTCCTATAAAGTGGGGATACAGGTTGATATTCTGCCAGAGAGTGCACTTTCTGTATTACAATTTCTTGAATGCACAGGCTGATATTTGTAATACAAACTGTTTAAAAATAAAAAGCGGGTCATCTATTTCAAATACTGCTATCCACTAAAAATAATGCTTGAAGTAATAAAAAAAAATCACTCACTCATATATATATATATATATATATATAATTCCCAGCTATGAGTAAATAGTAGGACTGATTAAGTTCTATAGCCTTGTGTGGCAAATGGTCTAGGAGAACAACAACTCTGAATTCAAAACCTGCGGCGGGATGTTTGGGGATCTTGTGGCATATTGTAGCCCCGTGCTCTGGATTTGGCTCTTCCCAAAAGTGGTTGGTTCTACACAAGCCCTCACCACTATAATCAAATGATATGTGTGGGTAGTTTAGCTGTTGGTTCTTAGAACTGATTGACCCTCATACGGCAGGAGAGTCCAGTAGTATGTGTGTGTATGTATATATATATATATATATATATATATATATATAATGTGTGTGTGTGTGATCAAATACAAATGAACTATGGAGTGGAATCAAACAACGATAGGATAAAGAACAAATAAGAAATGCTTATCAATCTAACATGTTTCATGTTTATTAAAGCTTCATCAGAGAATGATATATTATTATATATTCTCTGATGAAGCTTTAATCAAAGTGAACATTTTTACATTGATACATGTTTCCTATTTGTTCTTTATCTTTATATATATATATATATATATATATATATGAGGATTATTACAAATAAAATAAATTTGTCACTTAGCTGATTGATGCTATATTCAGGTTCATCTGCACCTTGACTGTAGATGAACTTTTTGATAACTTTTTCAATCTACTCTTCAGGAGATTTCAGCACATTAAAAATGATTGATAAGACTACAATTTTCTCTCTTCAAACATATATATATATATATATATATTGTGTGTATTTAGGCAGCATATTTTCAATATTTTCATATTAAATAAATAGACAACACTTGTCTATATTATTTAATGAAACGTGTATAAATATATATATATATATATATATATTCGTTTTTTTAATAGAGAAAATTATAGATTTATCTCTCATTTCTAATATCAGTTTTTATGTCTTCAAATTTATTTTTGTAAGTAACAGGAAAGTTAATGATATGTGCATCAATACCCCCAAGAAATTTAAATGGGCTAAATGCAAAATTTAGGCTCTATTTTGCAAACTCACTGTAAATTTCTGGAAGTCTTCAACATATTTAATATCTGTTTTTTTTTTTTTTTTTTTTGGTTTTTTTTAACTACATTTTAGCTGATTTCCCCCAAATAGTGTATATGGAGTTTTTTAGTGTCTGTGGTCTCAAGCAACCACTGGGTGGAGTCTTGAAACATACCCCCTGCAAATAAGTTGGAGGGTATACAGTATTTTTAATTTTCTGAAGAAAATTTATTTAACTTATTTTTTTAATGGTATTTATATTTGTATATTCTTGTAAAATCTGCTAGATTAATTTTTCTAATTTTATTTTTCTTCCAGTTATGCTGGTCAAGTAGGTTATATGATGGCAAATATTCGAGACATCAAAGAAGCTCGTATCGGTGATACATTCCACCATTTTAACCAACCTGTTGAGCCACTGCCAGGATTCAAGCCAGCAAAACCTATGGTAAGGCACAGAAAGTGTTCATGTTTTTTCTTCAAATTAAGAAAAAAAATAAAAATCAACAATTTTGCAATTTTTTCATTATTTTTATAAATCATCAGAACAATTGAAGCCATTTTTTTTTTTAAATTTCTTACTTGAATATTTAAAAAGATAAGTACTAATGGACTATTAACATTTGAATGAACTCCATTCCATGATGGGTGGTGAAAAATATTTTAAGTTTATGAATTCCTTTTATTTTTTAATTACTCGTTTGTTGAGATATTTTTCTGGTGGGTACAAAATTTTGCTACTACACTAAAAACAATGTTTATACTTAGCATCACAAAGAGGAGGAGCAAAGGAAAGCAGTTATTAATTTACTTAGTAAGCTTGTTTAAATCGATGACAACAGGGATTTGGAGGGATAGTGAAAAAACAAAACTTACAAAGGATAGGAAGCTGTGGAGATCCTCGATAACCCATGTCCTAAAGAGATACAATAGGGAAATAAAGAGCGAGGAGAGAAAAAAAAATATAATTACCATAGAGATGAATTGTGTTGTATAAGAGTAAGTGTCGTTGCTGACACTGTGGTTTGAAATTAGATCGCCAGTGAGTAACACCAGTGATTACATTATTAAGTAGATCACGTGATCATAATAGGAATTAGTGTGATGACAATACGATCACTGTTCACTCTTCTTGTCTATCCACTATTGCTATATGTTCACTCTCTCTACTCTACAGATTATGATTCTCCTCTGTTCATTATACTATTTGACAATTACTACTTAAACAAGCATTACTAGTGTGGATATTATTGGAAGGTGTTACTACTAGTACCGGTGTCTTTAAAGTCTCGAATATAATGAGCATTTTTGGAAGTGATAACAAGCTTTCGCTTGACACAGCAAAAGTGACAAGCGAAGCCATCCAAGATCACAAAAGTAGCGATGAGGATTCACAAGGAATTGCAAAAAATTGAAAAGACAAAACTTACAAAGGATAGGACGTTGTGGGGAGCCATAATCGCCCATGTCCTGAAGGGACACAGTACAAAAAAAGAATAGAGAAATAAATAGCAAGGAGAGAGAAAAAATATATAATTACCAGAGATGAATTAAACAAAACATAGAAAGGATAGGACGTTGTGGAGAGCCATAATCGCCCATGTCCTGAAGGGACACAGTACAAAAAAAGAATAGGGAAGTAAAGAGCAAAGAGAGAGAGAAAAAATATATAATTACCAGAGATGAATTAAAAAAAACAAAACATAGAAAGGATAGGACGTTGTGGAGAGCCATAATCGCCCATGTCCTGAAGGGACACGGTACAAAAAAAGAATAGGGAAGTAAAGAGCAAAGAGAGAGAGAAAAAATATATAATTACCCGAGATGAATTAAAAAAAAAAAAAAACATAGAAAGGATAGGACGTTGTGGAGAGCCATAATCGCCCATGTCCTGAAGGGACACAGTACAAAAAAAGAATAGGGAAGTAAAAGAGCAAAAAGAGAGAGAAAAAATATATAATTACCAGAGATGAATAAAAAAAAAAAAAACATAGAAAGGATAGGACGTTGTGGAGAGCCATAATCGCCCATGTCCTGAAGGGACACAGTACAAAAAAAGAATAGAGAAATAAATAGCAAGGAGAGAGAAAAAATATATAATTACCAGAGATGAATTAAAAAAAAAAAAACATAGAAAGGATAGGACGTTGTGGAGAGCCATAATCGCCCATGTTCTGAAGGGACACAGTACAAAAAAAGAATAGAGAAGTAAAGAGCAAAGAGAGGGAAATAATATATAATTACCATAGAGGGATAAATTGAAAAAAGAAAAGAAAAATTAAAAATATAAAAAAAATATATGAAATATTTAAAAACAGTTAACTATGAAAATTTCTCTCTAAATTTCTAAGATGTTGAGTTAATATTATTTATGTTGCTTACATGTGGACATGGTGAGTGGAATAATAACAATCTAACCTCATAGATTACATAAAGGATTTGGTTTGAAATTTTCTGAATGTTATTCAAATAAACAAACACCTGATGAAGGCTGGAGGGTAGAATGGTCGAAACATTGTGATATTAACAAACAAGCAAATTGTGATTATTTCTATCTTGATTTCTAGCATGTGGAGTTATTATTATTTACGTTATTTACATGTCAGTGGAATGAGAACAATCTAATCCCATAGATTGAATAAAGTGTTCAGTTTGAAATTTCTTGAATGAGCAAGCACCTGATGAAGGCTGGAGAACACAATGGTCAAAGCAAAGAGGGCACTAGTTTGCAGGTAAATAATGTAAACAATTACTGATGATCATAATAGATAACCTTTTTATGTATCTATCAGAGTAGAAAATACTCAAAGTATTTTGTTTTTTTATAAGAATATTTTGAACAATCAATTCTATAGTCTTCTTCACATGTACAATTTAAATAAAATGAAAAGGCATTTGCACAATGTTTTGACCGACCCATTATATGTCCTTTTTCAGGTCTACAGTTTGTATAGAATGAGAAAGGTATTTTCGTTATCTTTTACACAATGTTCTGTCCAGTCCATTGTACGGCTTTCTTCAGGTCTATAGTTTAAATAGAATAAAAAGATATTTTCTTTTTCTTTTTTTTCCAGCAGTACAAACCAAAACAGGGCAACAGAAAAATATTGATGGCAAATATACTGATACAATTAATCTAATCCTGAAAATGAGAAGAAATATCAGATCAATAGTTTTGAACAACTCTTGGAATGACAATGACTAATTTTCAAAATTAAAAATGATTGCATACAATTAAAAAAAATGCACAACTCAACTTGTTAAATAATAGTAATAATGAAGAGTGTATTGGTTGGAATAAAACTAGTAATAAAATAATTGTAATAATGAAGAGCATTAATCCAGAGTGTTGGGATAAAAAGCAACAATAGTAAGATGGATTAAAGCTTGTAATAAAATAATAGTAATAATGAACAGTGTTGTGATGAAAAACAATAATAAACTAGAGTGAAACTAGTGATAAAATGATAGTAATAGTGAAAATGTTTCACTTGTCTCTTTGGTTTAATTAGCAAAGGGGACAGGCCTATGTAGCCTTGGGTGGCAGCTTGTCTAGGAGAAGGAATTCATAGAAAGAGAATTTGTGGATTGCCATGGTTGTCTATCTACTGAAGGGAAAAAAACATCCCTGAATTCAAAACAGTGTAGAAGGTGATGTGAAATGACTCCACTATCTTTCCCACAAAGTTATGGTAATGCAAAGATAATAAATAAAAGCACAAACTGTTGAGAGCCATGATTGGCTATTTCCAGCTTGAAGAGAGATATGGCATTTTAAAGAAAAAAAAAGAACATCTAAATTTGTATCTGTCTATATTTCTGAGATGAGGTATTATGTATATTATTTACATTATTTGGACTATTGTCCTCATCTCTATTGCCATATTTATTACAACGTGCCATGTGTCCTCAAGGACACATGGCACAGTGGATAAAGGCATTGGTTAGATCCAGTGACAGGACCCAAAAAGTGTGAGTTCAATACCCGGTTAAAGCAGTGGAGAATTTTCAGAGGGAAATTAACAGGAGATAACTGATAACTGACATCCATTAAACATGGCACGTGGAACTAGAACAGTCTACCCCATTGAGCGAAATAAAGGGTTCAGTTCGACATTCCAACCACCTGAAGAAGGCCGGAGCGTACAATGGCCGAAACATTGTAATAAATATGGCGATAATGATGAGGACAATAGTCCGAATAATGTAAATAATGTATCTAAATTTGTTTACAATGTTTTATTATTTTTGGACAGGTTTTTGCTGGTGTTTTTCCTGCTGATCAATCAGAATATGATAATCTTCGGAAAGCAATTGAAAAATTGACATTGAATGATTCCAGTGTATCTGTGGTGTCAGACAGTAGGTGAGTTTTTTTTTTGTTTTTTTTAATGTAAGAAACATTGCATCAAGAGTGGCACTTGCTGCCATCCATGGTGGCTTCAGTCATATCTGGTCATTTATGAAACTAGATTTCATTTTAGCCACAAGTATATTTTCCTTAATTTAATGATAAATTTCTTTCATTTATTAACAGATTCTAGCAACACAGTTTTCATAATTGATTTGTTTTATTGAACTTTCATGAGAGATTTTATTCACAAAATGTATCGAAAAAAGTATCAAGTATTTGAAAGCATTCTCTGGAACTTTTTCAATATAGTAAATTAAATATATATAAAAAGTTTATTTAATTTCAAATGTAACCGGTTTATTTATTTATTTTTGTATCACTTGAGTTACCAAAATGATTTTGTTACTGTAACTATAAAACCATTTTTCTTGATTATTATAATCTATTATTATTATGATCATACATTTAAAAATAAGATCAATCTTTTTACTTATGATTTTTACATTTATGACACTGTAAAGTCATATAACTTTTCTGTACAAAAAGCTTCCAGAAAAATTTTTTTTTCAAAGTCTAAATTGTTGCAACTTTAAATTGTTGCATTTTATTTTGATGGTAATATTACTGAATTTTACTTCTTCATAATCAATATTGCATAATTTTTTATAATTCAAAATCATAAAAGAAATACAATTTATAATGAAAGATCGTAAATAATTACAATTTATAATGCAAGGTCTGTGGAAAATAAAAGTTACCAGTGATGACCTCTACCTCCATAGAGGGTGGAAGCACTGCTGTTGGTTACTTGGGAGATTTGATTGAAGCTTTTTGGTTTCTCCCACCTGGTTAAAATGTGATGATGCTTTGGGCTTAAAAGGAGCCCTGGTAATAGACAAAGTAGTTACTATTGTTAAGCACTCATCTGTTCTGCTTTGTTGCAAAGAGTATCTTTTTCGCACCTTACCAATTGTTACCTGGGCATTCTATGCATCTTTCTTATTTTTTGAAGATAGTCCTACACCTGTCGCTGTTGAAAATTAGTGGAATTTTCGATACATTACGAAAAAGTTGTTGGTTGTATAAATCATCTTATTACTTAATCTAACATGGATGACACTCAAGAAAAACTGGTCAATTGTTGCACTTTAATACGGAAGAAAATTGATGTTACTTTGAGAGATTTAAAAATGAAGTTTGCCTTTTTTTTGTCAAGATATAGAAGAATGGTTAACCAGGTTCGAAATAGCTACAGTTAGGCTGCAGCAACTGTTTCAGTCTCAAGGAAACAAAGCTGATTTACTGAGAAATATAGAAGAATCTTATCAATATCAGAGGGAGGTACAGTTGGAATTGAACATCTTCAGGCTACCATTGTTAACCATTCATCTGTTTTTCTTCATTGTGAAGAGCATCTTTTTTGCAAAATTTACCAATTGTTCCCTGGCCATTCTATGTGTCTTTCCTATTTTTTGAAGATAGAACTAGACCCATCTCCATCAAAAATTAGCTGAATTTTAGACAGGTCATGATGAAGTCCTAATTCAGGCATAAGACCAGAGTAAAAAAAATAAAAATAAAAATAAAAAAGGCTCTTCTTAGGGTTAAACTCATTACACTAGTGAATTATTTTATCATGCAAATTTACTAATCATGCTACGATATGTAATTAATTACTTAGTATAGTACATAGAGCACCCTGTAAGGACTGAATTCACCACACAAATTAAAGTTATTTATACCTGTCTTTGTTTAGTGTAGCACAAAGCAGTAATTATAGAGTAAGTGAGACTGAAACTCACTACAATTTAAGATGAGCTTGCTAGCCATTTTACTCAGGAAGCCATCATCATTAAAGTTACTTACAAAGTTCAGCTTAAATGTTGTTTGCAGCCATAGTTGAAGCATTGAAGAAGGCTCACTACACTAGCAGATTGGCTTGTGGAATGAGCTTGTTAACCATTACTGTAGACATTTTGCTCTCTTCATTCATTTGGAAAAATGTAATTTATAATAGTGGTTGAATTAGTTTTTGTTCTATTTTACAAGTTTCTTTTTTTTTTTTTCTTTTAATATTTTGTTGTGATTTATTAGTCCAGCCCTTGGTCAGGGTTGGCGTTTAGGATTCCTTGGTTTACTTCACATGGATGTTTTTAATGAACGGCTAGAGCAAGAACATGATGTCTCTGCCATTATGACAGCACCAAATGTACTTTATAAAGGTGAGTTTTTCTATGATTTTGCCATCATAAAAATTAAGCTTCAATTTTGCATATTGATAAATGGTTGATAAAATATACCATTAAATTTGCATGTATCTAAATTCTTAATATGTCCAATTGAATTTCGATTACACAAAGTTGTCATTGACTAAGCTTAGTAAAGTTTGGTACAAGGCACCTAGGGAGGGTTGGTCAGTAGCAATGGTTAGCTTGCTAACCATTATACCAGTCTAAGGTAACAAATACAATCTGAAACAGTAAAAAAAAAAATTATTTGTAATGAAATAAATAATAGTTTTTTGTTGATTGTTTTCTGGAACTTTCTCCCTATATGTGTACTAGTAGGCTTTGCCTACTTGCTATCACTTCGCAAAGTAAGATATATTCACTACTTGAAATCTTTGAAACAAAAATTTAAAATGAACATTTCATTCATAAATTGGTTTGTTATAGTTAAGGAAAGTTTTACAAATAGATGCCAACTTGTTGAAGGCCAAATAAAATGCAAATTTCAAACACTTTTCTGCACTATATAAGACGATATTCCTAAACAACTATTTTTGATATGAAAACCAAAACAATCCTCGAATAAAAGAACAGTAATGAACAGTAATTAATGAAATAAACGTTTTAAAAATCAATATGCAAATTAGTTAAACCTGAAGATATTGCCTAGAAGTAGATAATATAGAATACAGATATTGAACTTTTTGTGATAGGGTGGCTTTTAAGCTAGCTGCAATTTTGGATACAAAAGGAAAATAAGAGTTACTCCTCTTGAACCACGAAAGCAACAATAATGGCTAGAGTAATATATTAACATATAATCTGAGCTCGACGAAAATTGTTCCCTGTGCCTAACTTTTCTAGGGCTTTTGAATGAGCTGTGAATCACTGAAGTCAGACCAGTGGGAGTGGAGGAGTTGCTTAGATACACACACTCAAAAGCACTACTTTATATATAAGATGTTGTGTGTGAGTGACTTACATGTGTCATTTAATGTACATGCAATTTGACTGAGCTTGAAATGTGACGGTGTGTAAGCAAAGTATTTCTGAATATTTAACACTAATAACACATGATTAACATGTAATAACATCTGCGTAATAACACATGATTAACACGTCCATCTTAATTTAGACGACATACTCTGTTATTGCATACATTTTTATTTCTTTTTAATAATTTTACCCTAAGCAAAGCGTTGCCGTATTGTTCCTAGTTCATTGAAAAGTAATGGCAAACAAAATTTACACATGTAAATGACTAGTCATCATTGTTAGTAGTGGTGGATGGAAATGGAATAAATTTCAACAAAGCAATATTTTTATACAACAAAGTAACAAAGAGAAAATACGCTAGTATACATGTAAAAGAAAGAAGACATTAAAAGTTAGGGAATTGTGTGGGTGATATATGCAGGCATGTGTGTGAAAAAGTTCAGTCACCTGAGGAAAGATATCCCCATGCTGAAGACAGGCCCTATGCTGTTGTTGTCATGACAGCATGCTAGGAGGAAAAGAGAGGAAACAGAAAGAAAACAGGAAGTGTCCTGTTTTAATAGTTGTTTAACAGCACCACCTAATGGAATCACAGTGACACCAAGTAGGGTAACCTCAGTCAGTTATGTGACATGTACGATACACACTTCAATACATGACTGACGAGGCAGATTTCTTCCCACAATAGGTTGCCATTTCTTTCTATGGTAGACCAGTTACCATACAATGCTATAGAACCTAGTCTATCCTGGGGGGAGAAAAAGAGGATTCATTCCTTTCCCAAGGGTATTAGCACATAAGTGAATGTAATGGATTCAACTGGAATTTGAACTCGGCTCTGCGATTCCACAATCCGAGCTGCTATCCATTACTCTACCATAAAAGCCACTAAGATGCAAGGGGTTGATGAGAGTGAAAAAATGGAGAGGACAATAACAGAACAGGATTCAAGGAGACAGAAGATGACAATTGACATTGTATTTAAATTTTGAAGTTTGTAGTTGAAAGCCGGTTGGGAGTTCCATAGTTGAGAAGTGTATCAGAAGAAACTATTAGCATAGAACTTGGTTACATCTAGCAATTTCAACAGTGAAATTATTAGTTGCCAATCTAGTACAGCAATTAATTTGTAAAGTCGAATTACCAAAGAGGAAAACTTATCAGAACAATCCAATCCCAATGAAAATTATTTATAGAAAAGTAGAGCAAAGTAATTTATGTCTAATAGAATTGTATAGAATAGCTGATCAAATTCGGGAGCTTTTAGCATTTTAGTATTGTTATGGTCCAGTTCCTTGTACCACGGTGATAGTCCAAGGTAGAACCAATAAAGAAGAACTCGAATGCGTATATGGAATAACACAGATATATCACAAACAGGAATATATACAGAGAAGTAGAAAGTGTTAGTATGAACAATCAGGTTTAGTAGTAATTGTCTGAACGCGACTCTGTTTCGGACTGCCTCTGACTCGACTGACTGTCTCGCTCACTCTGACAGACAGACTTCTGACAGACTTCACTCCAGACTTCAGGCTGAACTCCAGACTTCAGACAGAACTCCCTGCTTCCTCTTGAGGCGCAGTATTTATTACGCATAGAATAGTCCATTATGTTATTATGGGTAAGGTTCCATAACAAGTATATTAACATGTCAAACATCAAGCACTACCTTCAATGGACAGGCCATCATCACTGAGCAGCCCCTGAATTCTTGTCTATCTCAATGAACAGGTCAATTAATTGGATTAAGCTCATCTCAAGACCTCAGTTGGAACTTGTATATATGATCCATCACTAAAGATGCTAGTAAAATGGTTGGTTCCCTGTACCACACCAGTAAGTAACTGACTCCTTTCTTACGTTCTACCTTGACAAGAACCAGATCAGACTAAATATGGGATACTGCCCCTTTCTTAATTTCTGTTCTTTTATTGTTCTCTGTCCTTTATAATGTTTTCCTTTTTCTCCTATTTGTCGTGCATCTTAGTGGTTTTTATTGCCTTGCTTGGGGTGAAATGATAAAAAACCCAAAAAACTCCTGTTGAAATTGGATCTGTATCTAACTTATTGAATCTATTGTATATCAGACATATGGCTACCTATCTATTCACTTATTGTGTTATATATTTGATATTAAATAATGTAACAAGAGTTAATATATTAAGGAACTTAACCAACTAATCATCACCTTTTGATTTAAAAAAACAAAAAAACAAACTTGCTCTGTCATTTTTATTATGTTAATCTAATATTTTGCGATAAATAATGCTTCACAGTAAGTTGCCCAAGTTATTAAGTTTAATCTGTCATCAAACCAGAGTAGGGAGGTACTCATCACACCACTGAATTATTGTAGTGAGGTACTCATCACACCACTGAATTATTGTAGTGAGGTACTCATTGAACTTCTGTCATATAAATTTGCTAATCCTCATGCTTCAGAAGTTTTTGATTTCTTTTACATTTAGTGAAAATCATTGGTACCAAGAATATCAAACAGTACCAGACAGACACTGTCACAGTAGTTAACCCTTGCAAGGTAGGATTTCATAATTTGTATAAATTTTCCAAAAATATGTCTATATGTCTTTTTTTTTTATTTTATTTTATTTTTACATCGATTCTCATTAAATTCAATGAGTCAATACTGCTTGGTGTACATTTAAAAAAAATTCATCTCTCATTTTGTTAGGGTATCGTGTCATATCAGGGAACCAGCCAAACCTGCTGTGTTCCCTTTTACACAAATGTTCTTGGAAAAGCATGTACTCTTTTCTTCTCCCTCACTAGCTATCAATTAAATAGCAGAGTAGACTATGTTCTTTAGCCTTGGGTGGCAATCCTTCTAAGAGAAAGAAAATTCTGAAATCCAAACCATTGAAGGAACAATGGGAAACCATTCCTCAATCTTTCCCAAGAATATATGGTAATTCACAGATAATAAAGAAACAGAATCTGTGAATAGTCGTGATTGCTTACATCCTGAAGGGAGATGACATTTAAAAATAAAGAAACAATCTTGTCATAGTGCAGGAGTTAATTTATTGAATGTCCTGCTATGGGGTTATAATTAGCAAAGACGTCTTGCTGACCATTACCATTGTACTTAGTTTGATTATGGCCACATGTTGAAACACCAGTTTCCGGTCCTTTTATAATGAACCGGAAACCCAATCCGAAACAGGAAACAAGGGATAAACCTCTACCCCTGTTAATATGGGGTGAGGGGTTCTTAATTATTAGGGAGGCTGGAATTTTTGTCAAAATGCAATAAATGGTGGGCAGGTCCTAAGTAAAAGGTGTGGGTTAGAAAATCCTTTAAAAGGCCAAAAGCTTAGAGTCAGAAAATCCCCCCCCCAAAATAAATAAAATAAACTTTCCTTCTCTTTCAATGAATAATTTATACTTATTTCATTTGTCATGTAATTTCGATTCATTCATTGAAAACTGAAAAGTAGAATTAACATTATTCAAATTCAGACTAAGTATCCTCTTTTTTTTTTCTTTTTTTTTTTTTTTTAATCTCTTCATTTAAATCTATTCAATTTAAAAAATTTTTTCTTTTTTTTTTAATCTATTCATTATTGCAAGGCAATAATGTCACTAAGACACAAGAGAGCTCCTGGGGGTGAAAGAGAATGAAAAGACTTTAGAAGGAACCAGAAACTTGATCTTAAACAGGAAACAAGTTATAAACCCCATACACTTGTTCCAAAAAAAAAAAAAGGAGGTATGTGAACCAGAAAACAGGCACAAAATAATGTGGAGACATTAGAAGTATAAGTTGAAGTAAACTTCATAATTAAAATATTTCAAACATTATGCTCTCTGCCCTTCAGGCATCTGTCAATTTGGTTAACCTTCCGAGAATGAACCTGAAGATCACCTTGATTGACAGATACCTGAAGAAGGTGTGAGGGCATGGTGGATGAAAATTGTGATAATAACAACCAGAATGAGGACATTAATCCCACTATAAATAATGATAACTTCTCATCCCAGAAATTCAATTAGATTTAACTTTCTTTTAACATGACAACTATGGGAATAAAGTCATTATGTTTAATCCAAATCTTAATTAATGAAAAGGCATTTTAAAAATTTATAAAATCATCTCAATTCCATTTTATATTCTTTAAAAACAATGTGTCATTCATTTCAATGATTAAAAATATTTTTTTCATGGTAATAACTACTGAATAGTGTGAGTTTTTACGATCATGTTTTTTTTTTACACAAAAAATAGTGGGCCGCACTATACATGGGTCATTTTTATTTTTTTATTTTTTTTTTATTTTTTGAAGAGTTAAAAAAATCATGCATTTCCATTAACCAGTTGCACTATACACAGGTAAATTTTTTCGGCTGGGGTTGAAATTTATGCCAAAAATTTCAGGGTAACACTATACATGAAGTCGGTTTATACACATGTATAATCATTTTAATGATAATGACTAATCATTTTCATGATTGTTGAGATGCAAAGAATCACAATTCCCAATAAATTCTTGACACAAATCCGCACTCATATAGTGAAAAATATTTCTTTTTATTATAAATGTTATATTTAGCAGATGCACATGATTGAGTAGATGTCCGTGTTTTCTTTTGTTTTTTTTACCAGCCTAGAGTTTGAAAGTCCTATTAAAGAAAACATGCCTCTTGACTGGAATCAATCCTGTACTACTTTTAATTTGGTAAACCACCTTCAAGCCAGGCATTTTTTGTCAGTAAAGATATGAGAAGCCATTACAGCTGAGCAAGAAATGATATTGAATTAAAAAAAAAAAAGAATGGCTTAAAAAATAAATATTTAAATATAAAAAATCTAATAATTTTGAATTATGCCCTAAAATAAAACTTTTTTTCATGTCCGATCTAAAAAAAAAAAAATCAGCATTTTTTTTATTTAATAAAATTAAATTTAACTCTGCCGTCTTTTTTTTTTTTACTTTTTAATTTTTTTGTTGTCTGCAAGTTTTGTTTTTCCTGTCATTATGTTTCTTTATTCCTTAGCTTCCAGATCCAAGTATCATCAGTGAGTATTTTGAACCAGTTGTCCTGGGCACAATCATCACTCCTCAAGATTATCTTTCACAAGTCATTAATCTTTGTTTGGTAAGTAGCTTCATAAATCAAAATCATGCTTGTAATCTGAGTTAAAAAAAACAAAGGACAGGTTATTTAGTCTAAAACCATTTTATTATAATTGAAAGTCATACAAATTCCTGTTTGGTTAGCCATTTTTGAATATCTTGAGTACCAGTTGTGCAGCCTTGATTTAATTTTGCAACCAATTAGAGGGGAACTTACTCTCCCATGCTCTCACTCAGTCAACAGCGAGCTTGTGTAATTTGTATTCACAGCAAATATATATCAATTTTTACTTGAACATCTGTCTACAGAATCTAGTTTGACACAACGACTGGTTCAGATTTTACAAGTATGTAAAATCTGCAATCATTGGTTTGTTGTAATAGAATTAATATTATAAAAGTTTGGAAGATCAAAAAATTGGGTAACTTTGACTAAGTTTACAAATGATTATGACTACCTAAATGAAAAAGTCAAAAGATACATTTTTTGTTACTAAAAAATAACATTTATCTTCTGTCTATATTTCTGAGATGAGATAACTATTTACACTATTCAGACTGTTGTCCTCCTCTTTATTGTCATATACACAATGTTTTGGTCGTTGCACACTCCAGCCTTCTTCAAGTGATATACATTAGAATTTCGAATCAAACCCTTTATTTCATTCACTGGGGTAGATTGTTCTAGTTCCATGTATCATGCCTTTTCTGGATATCTTAGTTTCAGTTATCTCCCTTTAGTAACTCAACTCACCAAGTTTTTGTTCGCCTCTGCTGTAGCCAGGTATTGAACTCACAACCCTTTGAATCAAGTCACTTGATTACTTCAACAAATGGTTTTATCCACTGGGGCTTGTAAATAGTGTAAACAACATTTATCTTGTCATTTGGAATTAAGATTGAAACGAGGATGAGAGAGATAAATCTTTGTAAAAACTTAGAATTGAAACTTGAGATATGATATTTTGGTAATGACACATTATGCATGGTCCTGAGCCTTGCTTTTTCATCCAGAAAAAAAAACCAAAAAAACACATGGATAGGGCTATAATTGTTAGTCAAAAGATTCAGAGTAAAAAAAAGAAAAAAAATTTTGATAGATGTTTAGTTATGGGCCCATATCTATATTTTCTCTGGAAGCTTTTCAGTATTTAAAAATGTCAGGCAACATCTGCTTTTTCTTCTCCTGAGAAATGGGCCTTTTTGTTTTGAATGTGTAATGAATTTTGGTCATTTTAAGTTTTGCTAACACACAAAAATATAATTTGGAATTCTTTTTCTGAGTTTTCTGATTGGCCAAGAATAAATGTTCAGATGATGTAAGAAAAAATGAATCAAGCCAATGAAATTATGAAGTAGCAACATGGAGGCTGGACCTGCTGAATTTGAGATAGTGTGAGAATTGTTTGATTGAGAAATAAGTCATTCGTCTGACACCTTCAAGGCCCCAAACTCTATTGACCTTATTAAGGGTTTTCAGTATAAATTGTTCAATTTTGACTCTCAAGTAGTTACAGTTTGGGAGATCTACTGACCCTGTTGACATGTTACTTGACGATCACTCTATCCTGCTGTCAGGGCAATATATTTAGCTAAAGAATTGTTAAGAATGAGCAAATTATAATTTCCATATGTGTTAAAGTTTCAACACTACACTTCTCTGTCTATAGCAACCCTCACATATCTTTTGTAGTTATTTGTATTTGAATAGACATATCACAAAAATCACTGGTTCCCATACGATCACCAAAATTAAGCAAGATTGTGTCTGGTCAGTACCTAGCTGAGTGACTGCTTGGGAATACCAGGTGCTGTAAGCTTGGATGTGTGGGTGATATATGGCTTGGAATTGTTAGCTCAAGGGCTAAGTTCCAATTTCCATAGGATTCATTGTATTCACTTATGTGAAAATACCCTTGGGAAAGGTATGAATCCACCTCTTCTCCTCCAGCTATGGGTTAATTATTAAGGCTTGTATCAATAAATCATTACTAGCTCAAAAAAATAAAAATAAAAAGTTCTTACAATCTAAAAATATTTCCTGGCTTTAAATAACCTGCAAAGGGTTGATAAACCGTAGAAAATAAATGAATCAATCAATGAAATATTGATTAGCTACACAGGCATTTCTTTTAGAATTATTTACATTCTTTGGAATATAAATGCATTGAAACTACCTTGTCCACAAAGTGAGGGATGAGTCTATATATTGATTGTAATATAGAATGAGTCCCCCACAATGTATCCACATTATAATTTCTTGTTTATCAAATTCCAATTAAGTATGAATCCACATCGTCTCCCCCAGTTATAGATTAATTAGTAAGACTTCTATCAATAAACCATTATTACCTCCCAAAAACAAAAATTTTTACAATATAAAAATATTTTCTGGCTTTAAATAATCTGCAATGGGTTGATAAGCCATAAAAAATGAATAAATCAATTGTACTTGAAAGAATAGCTATTCAGCTCTAGTTAAAGAAGATATCACATGTCTACAGAGGAAAGTATAATGTGTTGTCATGTAAAGATGTGCAGAGTGAGTGCTATGAGAGAGTTAGAGCCCCTTCTCGTTGGAGGGAAGAGCTGGTCTATTAATCTGACATGACAGTAGCAGCAGAAGTTGTCTCAAGTGTCATCTACCTAATTCCCAGACTATGTCAAGTGAATACCTAAATAAGCAACAAAATATATTATAAACAGGATTCATGTTTTTATTTCTCACTGTGCTGTTAATTTCCCCTTTCATTTTGTTGTAATTAAATCTATAAGTCTACCATTTGTTCATGCTTAGAATATTGCTGCCACATATGGTTCGGTGCCCATGCTATTTACCTTGAGCTCCTTGATAAAATTCAAAAAAGTATCAGTAATATTATTGGTCCTGATCTGGCAGCTCGGCTTCTGTCACTTTCCCACTGCCGTAAGGTTGCCTCTTCGTGTCTTTTTTCTATAAATACTTTTCATGGTAATTGTTTCAATGAGCTCGTCGCTATGGTGCCTAAACATTTTGAATTTAAGTACAACACCCGACTGGTGTCGAGACCTCATCAATTTACAATTGAGCTGACTAGGTGTAGCTGTGAGTTCTGTGCTAACAGTTTCTTTTCTCACACATGTCGTTTGTAGAACTGCCTTCCAGATCCATGCTTTCCAGCCAACTTTAATCTGCAAAAATTTAAATGCAATGTCAATTGCTATCTACTGTCCTCCTGAATACTCTTTTTCTCTTCTTGTTCATTATTAATGCTTCTGTTCCTAATTCTTCCACACTCTTGTGTCTTAATGGCTTTACTGCATAGAATGATACTGATTATAAAAAAGAAAAAAAATGGGCGCCATGCCTTTCCTAGTTTTTGTGCACACCAATGCAAACTGGAATCAAAACACAGGATTTGTCCAGTTGCCAAAAGACTTGAGAGAGAGTCCCAGTGTATTTTTGCAGCAGTAGGTCCTAAAAGTGTTTTGAGAAGTATTTGTAAAGATTAAAAAAAGCATATTTTGAATTCAAGGATAACACTTTTGAAGACTCTAGAATTTAAAAACTGACAAATTGGGAGAACTTTGAAAAACAAAGAAACAAAAAATGTGAACTTATAAAAAAAATTAGAAGTGAATCAGTTGACTCATTTAAGAATGCATTGGAGCTAAAAAGATGATTGTTTTTGGTGGAGGCAAGGAAGTCAGTCAATACCTGTTCTCAGGTTGTAAATACAATGCAGTGAATAATTTTGGAGCTGGGAGGGAAAGTTCTTCATGTGGACATATTATTCACCAGACCTGTTTTGTTGGCTTATCGGTGACATCAAATTTAAGATACAAAAAAAAAAAAAAATTCCTCAAAGCATTTTCCATATGAAACTCATTGATTTACAATGGGAATTTCACAAATTACCAAAAATGCATGGTAGAATAATGGATTGCTGTTCGGAATGAAGAATTTGAGAGCAGAGTACAAATTCCAGTCAAGTTCATTACATTCACTTACGCACTAATACTCTTGGGAAAGGTATTAATCTACTTCTTCTCCTCTCCAGTTATAGCTAAATAGTAGGATAGACTGGGTTCTATAGCCTTGGGTGAAAACTTTGAATTCAAAACTATATGTAGCACTGGTGAAGTACGTACTATCCATTGATCTTGACTTCAGTCGACTGTAGGAGGTCATATAAAGCCAGAGAAAATAATCTGAAAACTGAATAATAATGCCATGAATTTATATTAACCTAATATGATGAGATACACAGCTTAGTTGAAAGGTAGTGAAAAAGCATAGAAAACCAGGGACACTATTTTGATGACTGAATAGTGAGGCTATGAATTTATATGAAAAAAAAATGTCAAAACCTATTGGAACTTTCACTTGAATCTTTATTGCAAAAAAAGAATCTGTGTTGAATATGAATTTAATTCTATTTCTTTTATTGTTACTTATTACTGTTTGTTAATTTTTGTGTAATTAAATAGTAATTTGTTAATTTTTGTGTAACTAGGAATGTCGTGGGGATTTAAGAGAACAAGTGAATATTGATGACAATCGAGTGATGATTATGTCCATGTTGCCTTTGAACGAGATTCTGGTTGACTTTTTTGACACTCTCAAGTCTATGACATCAGGATATGCCAGGTGTGTATGAATGTCTTTTAACATCTGTACATTATACATATACAGTATAACCCGGATATAAGAGAGATTTTCTCTGGTCCCAAATTAGAGCCTGTGTTAATGTATATAAAATAGACCAAACCCGGATATAAGAGAGATTTTCTCTGGTCCCAAATTAGAGCCTGTGTTAATGTATATAAAATAGACCAAACCCGGATATAAGAGAGATTTTTCTCTGGTCCCAAATTAGAGCCTGTGTTAATGTATATAAAATAGACCAAACCCGGATATAAGAGAGATTTTCTGGTCCCAAATTAGAGCCTGTGTTAATGTATATAAAATAGACCAAACCCGGATATAAGAGAGATTTTCTCTGGTCCCAAATTAGAGCCTGTGTTAATGTATAAAATAGACCAAACCCGGATATAAGAGATTTTTTTCTGTCCCAAATTAGAGCCTGTGTTAATGTATATAAAATAGACCAAACCCGGATATAGAGAGATTTTCTCTGGTCCCAAATTAGAGCCTGTGTTAATGTATATAAAATAGACCAAAAATAGAGAGATTTTCTCTGGTCCCAAATTAAACCTGTGTTAATGTATATAAAATAGACCAAACCCGGATATAAGAGATTTCTCTGGTCCCAAATTAGAGCCTGTGTTAATGTATATAAAATAGACCAAACCCGGATATGAAATAGAAAGAGATTTTCTCTGGTCCCAAATTAGAGCCTGTGTTAATGTATATGAAATAGACCAAACCCGGATATAAGAGAGATTTTCTCTGGTCCCAAATTAGAGCCTGTGTTAATGTATATGAAATAGACCAAACCCGGATATAAGAGAGATTTCCCAAAATTAGAGCCTGGTCCCAAAATTAGAGCCTGTGTTAATGTATATAAAATAGACCAAACCCGGATATAAGAGAGATTTTCTCTGGTCCCAAATTAGAGCCTGTGTTAATGTATATATGAAATAGACCAAACCCGGATATAAGAGAGATTTTCTCTGGTCCCAAATTAGAGCCTGTGTTAATGTATATGAAATAGACCAAACCCGGATATAAGAGATTTTCTCTGGTCCCAAATTAGAGCCTGTGTTAATGTATATAAAATAGACCAAACCCGGATATAAGAGATTTTCTCTGGTCCCAAATTAGAGCCTGTGTTAATGTATATAAAATAGACCAAACCCGGATATAAGAGAGATTTTCTGGTCCCAAATTAGAGCCTGTGTTAATGTATATAAAATAGACCAAACCCGGATATAAGAGAGATTTTCTCTGGTCCCAAATTAGAGCCTGTGTTAATGTATATAAAATAGACCAAACCCGGATATAAGAGAGATTTTTCTGGTCCCAAATTAGAGCCTGTGTTAATGTATATAAAATAGACCCCAGAATCTGGTCCCAAATTAGAGCCTGTGTTAATGTATATAAAATAGACCAAACCCGGATATAAGAGAGATTCTCTGGTCCCAAATTAGAGCCTGTGTTAATGTATATAAAATAGACCAAACCCGGATATAAGAGAGATTTTTCTGGTCCCAAATTAGAGCCTGTGTTAATGTATATAAAATAGACCAAACCCGGATAATAAGAGAGATTTTCTCTGGTCCCAAATTAGAGCCTGTGTTAATGTATATAAAATAGACCAAACCCGGATATAAGAGAGATTTTTCTGGTCCCAAATTAGAGCCTGTGTTAATGTATATAAAATAGACCAAACCCGGATATAAGAGAGATTTTCTCTGGTCCCAAATTAGAGAGCCTGTGTTAATTTTTCTGGTCCCAAATTTAGAGCCCAGGTATATAAAATAGACCAAACCCGGAATTTTCTCTGGTCCCAAATTAGAGCCTGTGTTAATGTATATAAAAAGACCAAACCCGGATATAAGAGAGATTTTTTTCTAGAGCCTGTGTTAATGTATATGGTCCAAACCCGGATATTAAGAGAGATTTTCCTGTCCCAAATTAGAGCCTGTGTTAATGTATATAAAATAGACCAAACCCGGATATAAGAGAGATTTTCTCTGGTCCCAAATTAGACTGTGTGTTAATGGAAATAGACCAAACCCGGATATAAGAGATTTTCTCTGGTCCCAAATTAGAGCCTGTGTTAATGTATATAAAATAGACCAAACCCCTGTCCCAAATTAGATGTTAATGTATAAAATAGACCAAACCCGGATATAAGAGAGATTTTCTCTGGTCCCAAATTAGAGCCTGTGTTAATGTATACAAAATAGACCAAACCCGGATATAAGAGATTTTCTCTGGTCCCAAATTAGAGCCTGTGTTAATGTATAGCCTGTGTTAATGTATATAAAATAGACCAAACCCGGATATAAGAGAGATTTTCTCTGGTCCCAAATTAGAGCCTGTGTTAATGTATATAAAATAGACCAAACCCGGATATAAGAGAGATTTCTCTGGTCCCAAATTAGAGCCTGTGTTAATGTATATAAAATAGACCAAACCCGGATATACCAAAGAGAGATTTTCTGGTCCCAAATTAGAGCCTGTGTTAATGTATATAAAATAGACCAAACCCGGATATAAGAGAGATTTTCTCTGGTCCCAAATTAGAGCCTGTGTTAATGTATATAAAATAGACCAAACCCGGATATAAGAGAGATTTTCTCTGGTCCCCCTGTGTTAATGTATATAAAATAGACCAAACCCGGATATAAGAGAGATTTTCTGGTCCCAAATTAGAGCCTGTGTTAATGTATATGAAATAGACCAAACCCGGATATAAGAGAGATTTTCTCTGGTCCCAAATTAGAGCCTGTGTTAATGTATATAAAATAGACCAAACCCGGATATAAGAGAGATTTTCTCTGGTCCCAAATTCCTGTGTTAATGTATATAAAATAGACCAAACCCGGATATAAGAGAGATTTTTCTGGTCCCAAATTAGAGCTGTGTTAATGTATATAAAATAGACCAAACCCGGATATAAGAGAGATTTTCTCTGGTCCCAAATTAGAGCCTGTGTTAATGTATAGGAAATAGACCAAACCCGGATATAAGAGAGATTTTTCTGGTCCCAAATTAGAGCCTGTGTTAATGTATATGAAATAGACCAAACCCGGATATAAGAGAGATTTTCTGGTCCCAAATTAGAGCCTGTGTTAATGTATATAAAATAGACCAAACCCGGATATAAGAGAGATCTGGTCCCAAATTAGAGCCTGTGTTAATATATAAAATAGACCAAACCGGATATAAGAGAGATTTTCTCTGGTCCCAAATTAGAGCCTGTGTAATGTATATAAAATAGACCAAACCCGGATATAAGAGAGATTTTCTCTGGTCCCAAATTAGAGCCTGTGTTAATGTATATAAAATAGACCAAACCCGGATATAAGAGAGATTTTCTCTGGTCCCAAATTAGAGCCTGTGTTAATGTATATAAAATAGACCAAACCCGGATATAAGAGAGATTTTCTCTGGTCCCAAATTAGAGCCTGTTTAATGTATATAAAATAGACCAAACCCGGATATTCGTTAATGTATAAAATAAAAGAGACCAAACCCGGATATCAGAGATTTTTTTCCCAAATTAGAGCCTGTGTTAATGTATATTAGATAAACCCGGATATAAGAGACTTCTTCCAGTCCCGACAACTCTCTTATATCCGGGTTAACTGTATATATATATATATATATGTAATGTGTCTGTATGTAAAAATTTTATATTTGTAAAGGTTTTTGAAAAGACAAAAGAAAAACTATTTTTAGTCAACACGTTTCGTTTTCTGAGAGACATTATCAAGTTTATCGCATTTGCATTGATAAAGCCCCTCAAAGAACGAAACACATCAGCTGAGATAAGTTTTATTTTCTTTTTTCATATGTATAAATTTCAGATCTTCAATGAATTAAATTAAATTTTTTATTTATAAATTTACTAAATTATTAAAATTTGTAAATTTATAAATAAAAAATGGTTTTCATATTTATTTCCTTATAAATTTGTAATGATAAATACTGCATTGCATTTAGTTCTAATTGTATTAGTTTTTAGAATGTTGTCAAAATGATTCTTGTAAATAAACAATGTAATAGTGTTTAATATTTTTGTTGTAAATTCTCAAGAACTAAATGGGTTGGATAAAAATGAACGGCTTTGATATAAAGGGAGATAATCACATTTGCAAAACTGATCTGGCAATGGTTGCTGTTTACTAAACTTCACTTGACACAATGCCACAAGTATGAAACAAGCTATAAGGAACTCACTACTCAGTGATGATGATTAAACAGACTAGCTTGTTAACCATTACCTGATGTGTAGCACCATTGATATGATATGATAAGGTTAATTAAAGACAAATTACATATATATATATATATAGCCATACTTTTTTGTTGAGGCTGGACCAGGATTAATCATGATTTGAGTCAAGATTTTTACAAAGCCAGATGCTCTTCCTGATGACCAACTCAAGTTTGTTGCCAGAGAACACATTTTCTACAAAATTTCTCATTCAGGCCAGTAAACGTAATTAATACTGTTTAATTAAAAAATGCAGCATTTACACAGATAAGTGTATCCATAAAAACATATAAACAGAATATATATATGTATATGTTTACAGCAAAAAAACAAAAAATACATATGCTCTGTTATAATAAATACATTGAGCTCTCTTTGGATCAGTTTTAATAATATTACTAGGATCCACCTGAATTATATACCAATGGATCAATTATCTGTACTATATATATATATATATATATATATATATATATATATATAAAAAAACAGGACTGAAGTCAAAAATTTATGCCCAATACAAAGTACAAGTTTCCCCTTTGAAATTATTTCTCTCAAGTCTAACGTGACTTTCCCATCTTATAATGCCCTGCTTCCATGCGCTCCTGGGAGGATTCTCTCAGGATTTTCCACATCCAGAAAACAAGTCCCCTTGATGAATATTGCCATGCTGGAGTAACCACCCTACTCACCTGACCTGGCTTTGTTATTTTTCCTTTTCCGCAAACTGAAGGGGATCATCAAAGGGACCTGTGCCTTTTGACATTTTGTTTTTTGTCCCCCTAACCAGCAGAAAAGCTAGTGGGGGAACTGGTTTAGACACCAATCAGCTGTGCATAAGGCAGGTTGTACTGGGTTACATGATACCACTAGCAGGTCTAAGCCTGACCTGACCTGACCATAAATTAGAAAAATAAATAAGACTGGTTAATAAACTTAGCTGTGCAGTGAAAAATCTTCTTTGCATTTCTTTATAAAAACAAATATTCAAATTGCTCTTCTCCAAATATTGTTCCGTCCTGGGTATGACAATAAACTACATCCGGCAGCAAGGCCTCTGATCAGGAGGCTTTGAGGAGTGTGGAGCCACTTCTTAATTGCTGGTGTTCCCAGGTCCAACCTGTTAGGGTCCCAGCTATGGGCAAATAATTAACCCTGAAACTGGGGTAAAAACACTATGAAAGTGTAAAAATAGATTTTGATACCAGAAATATTTTTTAAAATTATTACCAGCAATAAATTTTTGAAGAAAAAAAAACTGTTAGCAGCAATACATTTTTGAAAAAAAAATATTACCAACAATGTTTTTAAAAAATAAATATTACTAGCAATACATTTTTGAAAAAAAAATATATTACCAGCTATACATTTTTGAGGAAAAAATATTACTAGCAATACTTTTTGGGGAAAAATTATGAACAGCAATACATTTTTGAAGGAAAAATATTACCAGAAATAGATTTTTGACAAAACAAAATATTACCAGTAATAAAAATTTTGTCGGCATTAAATAACCCATTGAGGTTGATATGCCATAAAACAAACCAAACCAATCCAAATATTGATGGTTGAATTCAAATTGAACTTTTTGGTTTCTATTCTAGTTTTGATTATGAAGATCAAGGATACCAACAGTCAAATCTTGTTAAGGTAAGATTTTAAAATATGATTATTTGATTTAATAAGCTTTTAAAATGTGATTATTTGATTTAATAAGCTTTTAGAATGTGATTATTTGATTTAATAAGCTTTTAGAATGTGATTATTAACTGATGTACTTTTCTTAGCATCTGTAAATAATCGAATAAAAGCTAAAATGAGTTGATATCAACCTAGGTTTAAAATTTTTTTTTTTTTTCTAATATATCCACTTGTTCTGTGTATGGTTGCCAGATTGGATTACTTTTTGGATTATTCAGTCTTGAAAGTCATTCTTTGTGATTTTTGTGGCAACTTTTAAAATAAAGATGATTAATTTAAAAGGATATTTTACAATATGAATAACTGGTGAGAATTGATGTAGTTTTCTTGGTATCCATAAATATATACCTAATTATGAATAGATATTTATCTGCTTTTCACTTTTGTGTATGTGTGAGTTTTGGGTGGAGGAAGAGAGAAGTGTGTGTGTGCATGTGAGAGAGAACTGGGGAAAAGCATGTGTGTGAGAGTTGGGAGAGAGAGAGTGTGTGTGTGTGAGAGTTGGGAGAGAGAGAGTGTGTGTGTGAGAGTTGGGAGAGAGAGTGTGTGTGTGAGAGTTGGGAGAGAGAGTGTGTGAAGGTGAGAGAGGGAGTGTGGGTGTGTGAGAGTTTGGGGAGAGTGTGTATATAATCAGATCACCCTACAAGTGCTACTGGCAGCATACAACTTTGTACTACCTACCGCATGGTTGGGTCATCAACAACCAAATGTCAAGAAGTTGGCAGATATTGTAACTCATCATTTTTCTTTTCACCCCCAAGCAAGGCAATAAAGCCACTAAAATGCAAAGGGTTACTGAGAATGAAAAACATTAAATAGAGTAGAGGATACTGAGAAAACATGACTGAGGAGACAGGACAATAAAAAGAACAGGATTCAAGATTACAGATGACAACAATTAGCATTGCCTTTAAAAATTTTGTAGATTGTAGTTGAAATGAAAGCAAGAAGCTGGAAAAGAGTTCCACATGCAAGAAGTGCGAGAGAAGAAACTATTAGAATAGAACTTACAGTTAAATTTAGCAATTATAATATAATACATAACAGGAGTAGATAGATTCACCTATCGTTCAGTTCACACTCCTCCCTGGACTTGAACAGGAGTAAAGGTTTATCCTTTGTTTCCTGTTTAAGATTGGTTTTCCATTTCCTTTTAAAGTCTTCTTATTCTCTTTCACTTCCAGTAGCCACTTGCATCTTAGTGGCATTATTGTCTTGCTTGGGAGGAATCAAAAAATCTATATATAAAATTCTGTGACTTTTGTTAGTCCGTCTGTCCATCACACCCTCTAAAATACCCATTGACACCAGATTTTGGAGTGAAGTACAAACAGGTAAGGGGTTACAAAGTACAGTTGGTTTTACTTCTTTTCTTATGTGCCATGTCCTTTCAGGACATAGGCAATCATGACTCTCCACTTCTCCCTATCCATTGTAGGTCTCAGTAAGTTTTGTGCCTCTACCAACTTCCCCAGACCACTTGCTTAAACCCACCAGGTATATCATGCATTGCTTTCCTTTGTCTCTTTTTCCCTCTATTCGACCTGTGAGTATCCGATTCTCCAGGCCCTCCTTTCTTATTATGTGTCCCAGAAATATCATCTGCCCCCTTCCTTATGTTAAGTATAAGCTTCCTCCTTGTTTGCATCGTCTCCAAGACCTCATCATTGCTCTTATGCTCATGATGCCTAACAGAACACAATATGAGACTTAGTGGCGTGAAGGGGGTTAAGTCTGTGGTTTTACTAGGGTACGTAAAAGCCACAAAGTAGGGTTTTTGGCAAAGTATTTTTCCAAACAAATCAGCTTATTCAAATTTCAACACTTGGCTTCTGAAATTGAACAAAATGTAAAGTTTGTAAATCTCAGCACAAAATGTTAGTGATAACTTCAACAATACTTAATACTCTGAGGATTTCAACACGTGTCAGTGTATTACAAAAAATTTCGATAAAAAAATGCTGAGATCTAGCTGCCAATCTAGTACTATGCTTAAATTCATGAAGCTGAGGTATCAAAGTTCATCAGAACAATGGCCATGAAAATATTTGTAGAATACAGGGAAGCTACATTATGATGGTGTGAAAGTGATTGATTTCTTTATAACTTAGCATATGTAGTTCAATTTGTAAAATGATATGTATCATATTTTATTTTATTTTTTTGACAGATTGTTTTCAATTTGAATAGCCAACCTGTTGATGAACTCACGGTCATCTGTCATGTATCAAAGGCAAGACAAATGGCTAAGAAAATGTGCAACAAGTTGAAAGAGACAATTCCACGTCAGTTGTATCGAATCAGCATCCAGGCATCGGTTGGAAGCAAAATATTGGCCCGTGAGGATATCGGTGCTTACCGGAAAGATGTCCTTGCTAAATGTGTCAGTGTCTTCTAATTTCTTTCTTTATAGAAATAGGATAATTTTAATATAATTACCTTTAAAATCATTTTTATTTTAAAAGAAAGAAAAAAGACCCATTGCCCAGTGGATAAAGACTTTGGTTAGATCCAGTGACTAGACCCAAAGAGTTGTGAGTTCAATACCAGGCTACAGCAGTAGTGAATTAAAACTTGGAGAGTTGAGTTAAAGGGAAATAACTGAGACATCCGGAAAATGTGGTTCTAGAACCATTTACCCGAGCTGACAAAATAAAGGGTTTGGTTCAAAATTCCAATCACCTGAAGAACGTTGTGAATATGGCAAGGAAGATGAGGATGACCGTCTGAATAATGTAAATAATGTTTAAAAAAAAAAAGGCATTAAAAAAAAGCTTTTCTTTATAAATGATTCATTTTACTTATGTTATCAATAGTTAACCTCAGTTGAACTTGATTTGTACTTGGGCTTCACTTCATTGTTTCTTATTTTCATCAAATACCTTCCCTGATGTCATCAGTTCCTGATTAGGTTTTTTTTATGCAGGACACAACTATTTACTCCTGTCTTAGCAGCAAGTTCAACTGATCCAACAAGGTAAAACTGGCAGCTGCTTTTGAAAAGGAAATCCAATCAGTGGTTAACTGGGAGGACAGAATGGTTTGTAAGTTTTAATGCCTCCAAAACATTTAATCACTATAGAGAACCATTTCTGCCTGCCTCCAGGAAAGCACATCTTTGTGCCTTTTTGGGGGCTCACTCAAATTGTTGGAGGAAGGACCTGAGAGGGAAGAAGAAACAGATTTTGATTCTTTTTCTATATGGTCTTTTCAGTGGGTTTTTGGATAGCTTGGCAGCAACTATCTCCCTCTCCAAGCTCTGTAATGAACTTGACTGGAAATCGAACTTGGCTGTCTGATTCCTCAATCTGAACTGTTAGCCATTATTTCACCATACCTGCATTTCATATTATATGCATAGGTCAGTGTTTCTCAACCTTTTCAAGCAATGGCATATCGAGGAGCAAATGAAAACATCACGGCACATTTACCAAAATTTTTAAATGTTGTGAAATAAAACCATAGATTTAAAAATAATACACAAATATGAACATATTTCAATGTTTCTGCCCAGCTATTTGTGCAGCTTATTTGGTGTGAAACATATGCCTGGTGTTTTTTTAAATTTTTTTTTTTATTCATGATTTCAATATTTTGCAGCATGACAGTTGAGAATCACTGACCTAGGTAAATAACTCTGTTCCTTACTTGACAATGCACTTAATTTAATGGTGATTATTAATCACATACGTCAACCATTCTAATAAAGATAATAAATGCAATATATTATTGCTATTATATTTTATAAATCTTTGTTTCTGTTAAACAATGCTGAGCCTGGTCAGTACCTAAATGGGTGACTGTATGGGAATACCAGGTGCTGTAAGTTTGGTTGTGCTGTTGGCATAATGGGCTTATGGCCACATCATGTTGAAACACCAGTTTCTGTATGGTCACCAGAGTTAAGCAATGTCTAGTCTGGTCAGTACTTAAGATGGGTGACCACTTAGGAATGCCAGGTTCTCTAAGCTTGGATGTAATAGTGTAATGGCTAATGGCTCAGAATTGTTAATCCGAAAGTCAAATTCAAATTCCTGTTGGGGTTGTTGTATTCATTTATGTGAAAATACCCTTGAGAAAAAAGGTATGAATCCACATATCTTCCCACCTATGGGTTAATTAGTAAAACACTAAATCATTATTATCTCAAAATAAAAAGTTCTTACAATCTAAAAATATTTTCTGGGTTTAGATAACCTGCAAAATGTTGATAAGTTGTAAGAAACGAATTGATCAGTCAACTAGTAAAAAATGAATTTAAAAATTACCCCAAATATCATGAAATGAAAAAAATAGGAGACCATAGCATTTCAGACTTAATATATAATTTTTTTTCCTTTTTGTTTACACAGTATGGTGGTGATATTACTCGCAAGATGAAGCTGTTACGACAACAGGCAGAAGGAAAGAAGAAAATGCGCAAAATTGGTAACATCGATGTTCCCAAAGATGCCTTCATCAAGGTTTTGCAAAAGTAACACTTGGCACATATAGGAAAGACTACATTTTTCAGAGGCATTTTTATTAAACTTGACCTCCATCTTTTAAAGAACTTGGCTCACGCTTGGGCATGTAATTATAAAAAAAAAATGAAGATATAAAGAGAATGATTGCAAACAATGGCAACAATAAGAAAAAAAATATATAAATATATACACAGTAAACATTTTATAGAAGTATAATTGCTTTTGTTGTTATTTCAATGTGCATTTGCATCATCATCAGAGTATGGTTTTGTTGTGGATGCCCGTTTGTTAGTGCAATTGAACAATATAAATACATGTATGTTTAGGGTGTGCATGTGTAGTAATAATAATAATGTATTTCCATTGTCCTATGTATTTCAAAGCTGACTTGACATTTGGCATCAGTGAGGGCTAAGACTTACTGTATGCATTTGAAGATGTGGGTTGATACAGGAAGTCCTAGCCCTCACTGATGGCAGATGTTGAGTTGGTTTTGAGATACATGGGACAACGAAAATACATTATTATTATACAAGCCTGTAACCTTCATTCTCCCCCTTCTACAGGGAGGGTGGATTTACATATTCAACTGTGATATCCAACTCCCCTGGAGAACACTTCATTCTCATCACATCTCTCTTGTAGAACCTGAATTTTGTCGTTAGAGTATTGCAGTAGTCTGCCCTTCCTTTGTGGAAGGAGCATGGAGCCCATGTTAATGGGAGACTCAAATTTGTCAGCTACTTCATTGTAACCTTGAAATTTGGTGTTAAAAATACAATCATATGTAGTAACTCTCAAAATTTTTGACATTTGGATTCATATAGGATCAAGTCTGACGGCATCATGATGCATAGATGATAATTCCTTTATTGTCTTAACTATGCCAATGTCTAATAGCGGTTCCAGTACACTATGTTACAGTATGTCATCAGCTGAAGCTGGGACAGGTGTTTTCTTTTGCATACAAATTATGGTTTGCTGGTATTGTTAATTTTAATGTATTCAAATAGAAAAAGGCATTGGAAGACTACAAGTGCCAATATTGAAATAGAAAATTATTTTCAGTATTGTATTATTATTAAGAAACAACACTCTTGATTAGACTGGATTGTAATCCTTTTTTATTCAAACCAGGATGAGTTAAGACAAAACATGAAAAGAGAACAGGAAGAACAAAAAGGAAAAAAAAAAATAGTTCAAAACAAAGAGTGTAAACTATATACAGGGTGGTCCGAAAGTCTTGTCCGCTCCCCAACGTGCATGTGCACACACACACACAAGATTGTAATGAGAACAATAGAAGAACAAGTAATACAAAGCACATGCACTGGATTCAACTTATTTGCTTTCATTGATGTTGTCACACATCGAGAAGGTCTGCATGAATACCACCATTTTCATGGTACAAAAGGTGAGGTGCCATGTTGTGTGATATTTTACAAAGTTGTGTTTTATTTATTGTTGCAAAGGCTCTCCAGATAGCGTCCTTCAACTGATGGTTTGGTTTATTTTGTTTTATGGCATATCAACCTCAATGGATTATTTAATGCCGACATTTTTTATTGCTGGTAATATTTTGTTTTTTCAAAAATGTGTCTCTGCTAATATTTTTCCTTCAAAATTGTATTGCTGGTAATAAATTTTTTCAAAAAAAGTATTGCTGCTAATAGTTAACTATTTGCCTATAGCTGGGACCCTAGTAGGTGCTACCACCCTGGGAACACCAGCAATTAAGAGGTGGTTCCACACTCCTCAAAACCTCCTGATCAGAGGCCTTGCTGCTGGATGTAGTTTATCGTCTTACCCAGGACACGGATGTCTTAACCAGGACGACCTTCAACTGATGGGTATTCTGGTATTGTTTATGTGAAACTCTTTCCTTGGTAATACTCCACAGAGCGTTGAAATAGAAAATTATATTATGTCGTGGGGGTGGCAATACATTCAGACTACCCTGTACTTCTGGCAACCACTTTAAGAAAAAAAAAATTTAGGATAAGAGAAAAAATAAACAAAAAATGCACCTGTCTTTTTCTAATAAATGTTCTTTTTTATAGCATTTTGTAGTGAGTCCTGATAAAAATAAAATATATAAACAAAAATAAATTCCAATTAAAATAAAGCATTTGCGCTTTCCTTTAAAACCCTTAACTCTTTCTCTCTAAACTTCTCTTTCTATTCTTCTTTCAACTAATGAGAAAGCAACCCTCAAATAAAAAGAGGAAGATAAAGATTGAACCTAGATGAAAAAAACTGGAAGTTTGCAGGATCAGATTTGTGACTGAAAAATGCCAAAAATCAGGGAGGGTTCACACATGATATAAAAATAAATGCTAGAAAACATAATTTTGGCCAATCAAAAAAAAATTTGACACAAAAAGACTTTGATGTTAGCCAAAACCAACATTCACGCCAGAGTTTTATTGAATTTTAGTTAATTTAGCCTTAGCCTGACGTTTTTATCAAAATAACTCCAACACAAAAATAAAAAAAGCAAAAAAACTACTAAAAAAATACTTGAGTATAACTCACATTAAAATAAATACATAAAATAAAATATTTAGTGAGATAGGAATTAAAAAAAAGTAAAAATTATTTTAAATTTAAAAATTTTGAAGGGAGGTTTTGCAAAGTCTGTCAAGATGTAAACACGATGGAGCACACAAATGAAAATGAAAGAATTTCAGATGATCAGATTTTTCAGAGAGGACAACTAAAACGTGACGGACATCCATACTTATGAAAATGGGAATATTTCTGTACTAAAAATAATTACAAATTATTTTTAAAATATTGGAGTAATTGACTTTTATTAAGCTTTTTCATTTTTTTTATTCGTAAATATAGTTTTACTTTTTACTTAATAACAACATCATCTAACCAGATTGAAGTAATGCAAAATTTTAAACAATTTAAATTATTATAATTAAAATTTAATAAAATAAAAACAATTCTTGTAAATAATTCATTATTTATTGAAAAAATTTTTTTCTTAAGACAATAGTGTTCTTAATAAATCTTACTTATAAAAGCAATTAATAGCTTTTCTAATTAAATAATGTCATAGTTTTACTGCATTTTTTATTTTATGATTCAGAGCCAATTTTCATTAACTGGTGGGGGGAGTCTTTTTTTTTTTTAAACTAATAAGGAAATATTGAGATTGTAATTTATTTTCTCAAAATTTCAGGATATTAAGGGGGTGAGGGTGTGGGTAACATAAGGAAAAAAAACTTTTTACCAAGATTTTCTAAAGAAAATTCAAAAATAATTTAATTCATTTGTGAATAAGTCCTGAAGGTTTCATTAAAATCTGACAATTATTCAATTTTTGCAAGAATTTCCAAAACAATGTGTTTTTCACCTATTTAAAAAAAAAAGGCGCAAAAACACTAATCGTAAATATATTGACTGCTGATGTAAAAAAAAAACAAAAAAAAAAAATTTTTAACCAAAATTTTGAATGTGCTATTTAGGATTAATAATTTAATAAAATAAAAAATACTTAAAATAACAAACATTTTGACAATAAAACTTTGTTTTTAAGTTTGGGGCCTTTTTTTCATTATGCTATGCTGTTAGTTTTCAGCAAGCAAGTGGAAGTATTTTTGGGAGTTACTTTCAACCTTCATGATTGTAAATTGTCTGATAAGTAGCATATACATATAGTGTAATAGTAATTTCTGGTCGATTCTGTTAACTTTGCACTATGGACCTTGGAAAAGGCAAAAATCTTCCAATTGAGGATTAAATAACTGGATCAATTGGGTTCTCTTGCCTTAGAGTGGCAGCCAGTCAAGGAAACAATCAACTCTGAATTCAAAACCAGTCTAAATAGGAATGGGCTCTGCTATATTCTTATTCTGTTATAGCTGCAGTACATGTGGTGCCTTTATGACTCTAATGGGTTATGGTAACCTGATAAGGTTTGGTATTAGCTAATAAGTTTCTAATATTTTTATTTTTGCACTTATTACATCATTGTCAAGGATGATGTAAATATCTTTATGCTTATTTCCATCAATTAATTGAATCAATGGATGTGCGGTGTATTGTAAGGGATAACATATTGAAATGGGAAATCAGACAGCTGAGATCAGATTCTAGTTGGGTTTACTACATTCAGTTATGTGTAAGTACCTTGGGAAAGGTATAAATTCATCTATTCCCCCCAGCTATGGGTTGAACACAGAGCAGACTGGGCCCTATAGCCTGAGAGAAATGGTAGCCAATTGGGAAGTCTTCCTAGTCAGTTATAAATTAACGAGACATAACTGCCCAACGTATGACACTTGACTTTTGAATTAATCAATAATTTCTCATTTATATTTAATAGAAACTCCAAGAATGAACACTTGGTTCCCTTGTTGTCAGTAAATTTTTCATCAGAAAACACGGTTTAAATATATCAGATATCTTGGCCTTGATGAGACACCCAATTTAGGGAATTAGTTTAAAAGTTCTATGTGGAACAATCTTAACCCAAAAAGCCATTCTCCAATAAGCAAGTTAAGAGCTCATTACAGTAGCTTTCTAATGTAGTATGTGGCTCATCCCAGATGGTACCAGAATAAACTTAACATTTAATGTAACACCTGATCAACCAAGAAACCAGGTGCAGGGTTTGCGTGAGAGATGACCTACTAGCCAAGTTTGCAGATCTGCGCTTCACTCAAGATTAGTTACTATCCTGACATGTGAACACGTGAACAACACAGCAGTGACTGGGATGTGCATATGTAGCAAAGAACCAGATGACAGATATCTAAACATCCACCATGGAGAGGACAATTTCATGCATTCACATGTAGAGTCTACATTCAGAGAAAGCCACAAAGCTGCATAAACTCTGGCTGAAGGTGATTGATAAAGTACAGAGTGAATTAAACAGAGATGATTCATTAAAGTGTTTTCATTTGTAAAAATGCTGATAATGTTGTGCTAACATCAATATGGTGGATGTTATGAAAAGTAAACGTGGTGATAATGTGGCGCTAATATGATGAGACAACATGGTGGATGGTATAAAAAGTAAATTTGGTGATAACATTGCGCTAGCATCTTGAGGCAAGATAGAGAATGGTATAAAAAATAAATATGGTGAAAACATGCTAGCATGATGAGGTAACATGGAGGATAGTATAAAAAGTAAACATGGTGATAAAATTGCGCTAGCATCATGAAGCAACATGGAGGATGGTATGAAAAGTAAACATGGTGAAAACGTGCTAGCATCAGGTGGCAACATGGAGGAGGGTATAAAAAGTAAATGTGGTGATAGCTTTGCACTAATATCAGAGGTAATATGGTGGATGGTATGAAAGGTAAATATGGTTATAACAGTGGAAAAATCTATGACAAAATGGAAAAGGTTTTCTTGAAACACATTTCGTTCTTTAGGACTCCATTGGACATAAAGCACACAAGAAAACTTTTTCCACTTTGTCATATATTTTTACCAATATTATTCTTGATGTATAAAAATATATATATATATATATATATATATATATATATATATATATGGGGTAATTGTATGACAAAGTGGAAAATGTTTACTTGTGATGCATTTTGGCCTTCAGGACTTCATCGGAATAAATTTGTTATATTTGTAGGAATACACATGTGCACGACAGAGGTGTACTGGGAATTTTGGATTTTTTTTTATCAGCTGAATTTATCTTGAGTCTTTTTCTTGCCATCATTTTTGTAAGTAGATATTCCACACTGTGATATTAGAAGAAAATGTTGTAAGAACCCGGGCGCAAAATTACTGTAGATGACCTTGCGATTAACTAAGGCACTCTCTCTAGATATTTACATCGTTGTGAATTATTTCTCTTTTGATCAGAGTAGCATTTTTTTATGTCAAAGTTGTGGTCAGTTTCGTTATGGTGGACAACTAACATACATGGTCATATTTTGTAAAATGCCCTTTTGTGTTCATATCATCTTTTATTTAGATTCTTTATTTGGATTTTCAAACACTGAACACTGAAAAATGTCCAAAGATTTCCAATTAAGTAGTACTTAGTGTCATTTCCAAAGCAACAGAGACATTTCGTAGCATACAATATGATTTATTTTGTGACATATTTTTATTATGTGTCCGTTTTCCCTAATATTTCACCTTGTTTCCAAAATACAAGTGCTGGCAAGAATATTTCCTTTTTCAAGTCACCCACGCCTCTCTTGCAAGGTGCTTATTTGGTAAGGCATCATTATTATTTTTCCACGCACTGTCCAATTATTTTGTCACAGGAAAAAAAAAAAAAAAAAAAAGTTCTTTCTTATTTTATAAATTGAAAAATTGCCACCGGCAAGACTAATCTAGATTTTGGGCACAAATGAGAAGGAATTTCATTTTAGAAACGAGTTGAAACCGAGTTAATTCCCTTTGACCATTAAAGATGGCTGCGCCCTTGGTAGCATGCGGATGATGTTTTAAGAGTTGATTGAAATTAATTCAAAGGTGATGGCAGGCTATTTCCGACACACTATCGCCTCTAAGGTAAATATTTTCACATAAATTAATAACCCTAATGACAGTATTTACCTTAATTTCTTCTGATCTCTGTATATTTTTCAAACGTGAATTAGAGGACATTGTTGTTTCTCGTGAAAGTTGCCTCAACAACTTATTTTTTGTATATATAAATTTAAATAATAAGAGATAAATATACCTACAAAAGTGTGAGAAATACGACCGGGGTATTAAAAAAAATCACGCATATAGACGACAGTTGGTGTTAAGAGCTTTTTTTATTTTATAAGATATCACTAGATGAACAAGAATTTGTTTCTTAACATCATTAGCTTTTAACTTTTTCGAGTGTACGCCAAAAGAAAAATATCGTCACCAAGCCTGTCCGCCATTTTCTATCTCATGCTTGCGCGTCAGATAAATAATCCTTATCCTTGCTGCAATAAGTTTTTATTTTCTTCTTATTTTTTTGATTCATTTTTTTTTATGCAATTGTTCATATAATAATACAAAGCTCAAGAGCTTCTCAAGATAGAGGTTTATTGGTGAAGGAAGTTAGAACGAAATTTAGAAAAAAAGCAGGAGACAACTTTTGATGCAAGTAAAAATAAGCACACCATTAACTTATTCTATCATAACCAGATGTACCCTTGTAGAATCTCCCACAACACAACCAGCCTTACCTCTTTGTAGGAAATACACTCTTCCTATCTAGTAAGCCAAATTCTACCTTCAGACAATATAACAAGTATTCATTGGTCAATCACCTCAAATCTGGCTTGCTGATTGGTCAGTTCCGACCAATCAAACCGCCTGCACGCGACCAAGCTGTTTTCCCGCTCATATGCTGCGAGCCACCCAGTGATTATATAAACAGAAAACGTGTGAACCTTCCGAGGAGCAGTAATTATCAAGTTTCAAGATGTAACATTCACCGACTCCTGTCTTAGTCATTGCTGACCAGACGTTAAAGACAATTACCAACTTTATGCAGTCAGTAACACGCATTCACAGAGAACTTTCCAAAATACTCCACGTCACTCTTAATCACAATTTTGCCGCCGCAAAAAAGATACATCGCTGACTCATACCGATCAAGATTCAATCAACTCTGTACATCATTTCTCAACTTTGCTTATCTAAAGTGAATCAAATTCACTACTTATTAAGTAAACTCTACGAACGAACGACCTTAGAAAAAATATTACAGTTAAAGGTAGATCACTCTTAAAAAACTCTTTCTATAAGACACTTAATATCCACAATCGTAAATATCGACACAAACAAAAATACTCCAAATGAACGAACAATTACGAAGAGAGACATTCTGAAATCTGAAGAAAAAGATAACATTTTCCTTCACACAACATACATCAATTATCCTGTCTGTATATTGTTTGATTTGTATATAAATGTTGTATTGATTTCTAATTGAATATATCTTGTTTTTCAATTGCATTTTAAATTTCGTTTATCTATTTGTTTGGGGATGCAGAAAGTCACTCAAATTCCTTCTGATTCTTTCTAACGTAAATACTAAATTCTGCACGTCCCCAACACCCTCATTATAAACAGGATGAAAAAGGAATTAAAAACTGAATTTGTGAATATATATCACTCAATGATCCTAACACACACCTGATATTTATTGGTACTACTATAGTATGATATCCACTGTTCATTTTCTACTATAGTATGATACTAGCAGATATGATCCCTGTTTATAAATTCCAGTTGCATAAGGTCTTTTTAATTTATAAACAGGGGTCATATCATTCATATACAGGTTCAGGGTTAGTATATCTTATTGAAATTGTTTGCGAAGATGTATTCTCACCATTTAAATCATTAACCTCTATATTTGTCTTTTGTATGAATGATTCATGTAATTATATATATATATATATATATATAGGAGATAACGATATATCATTTTTTTATATATCAATAAAATTTTAAGGGAAAGAAGCATGACAAAGTGGAAAAAGTTTTGTGTGACGTGTTTTGTCCTTTAGTAGCTAATTGGATTATATTTATGCTGTTGTGATGACACATGCAAATGAATGAGAGATGCTGAGAATTCTAAATTTCAAAATAATTTTATTTTGTAATTTGAGAATATAATCTCGCTGGTTTCATTTAGATTCTTTTTCTTTGTGTTTTCATCAAAAAAAAATTAACGAAAAGAGACTTTTGAAACCGATTTTCACGCCAGTAAGTCTGGATTCCCGTCAAAAGAGATATAACCCAACAATTGCCTTAAAGCAGAAGAAAAGAAGAGGCCTTAAGAGAAACCACTCTTCTTATTTACCTGGAGCTTCTTGATAAGATCCAAAGAAGAATCAGCAATATTATTGGTCCTGATGTGGTGACTCGGCTTCAGTCACTTACCAACCACAAGCTTGGTGTAAGCTTGCCTCTCTGTGGCTTGTTTATAAATACTTTCATATAAATACTTTACTAACAGCCCTGAAGAGGAGGGATCACAAGAGAAATCACTCATGCATAACGTGTGAAGAAGTTAAGACGTCATCTGATGGAAATATTTTTCTGCTCTTCTTAAAGCCCCCTCCCCCAAAGAAAAGACAGCCATTGTTAGGTCAGCTGCTAAGAAAGTCAGTTCACTGTGTCAGGCGAGGCAATTCTTTTCTCCTCAATCTATCTTGCATATATATATATATATATATATATATATAACCGTGCTTAAAATATTGCTGGTTTTCACCTGGATCTCCTTGATAAGATCCAAAGAAGAATCAGCAATATTACTGATCCTGATCTGGCAGCTTAGCTTCAGACACTTGCTCACTGCCATAAGGTCATCTCTTTGTGCGTTTTCTATAAATAATTTCAGGGTAATTGTTCAGATGAGCTCTTCACTATAATTACTAATCTTATTTTTCTTTAGTTTCTTGTAAATAGTTTTTTATGTTCATATTTGTAAATACTCATTGGGGCTAGTTTTTAGAATTGTTGTTTTATTCCCCTCCGCTCACAGACAATGAATTGTAAATATGGGGACTAGTTAGTATTTTCATAGAGACAATGAGATATTAGGGTGGTTGTAGTAAGAAAGGTACGTATGAATGTGTTGTTTTGGTGTAAGGAATATTGTTCATACGATTGGGTCAGTGTTTGCGGCTAGCTAAGTTAGAGTTAAGACAGAAGAAGACCGTCCTTTCCCCAATCCCCTTTTCGGCCTTGTGCCACATTTCTGTAGAAAACAGAATAAATATCGCTCTTCACTATGGCGCCTAGACTTTTTTGAATTTAAACACAATACTAGACTGGCAATGCGATTGCATCAATTTACAGATGAGCTAGATTGATGTAGCTTTAACTTCTGTGCTAACAGTTTCTTTTCTCGCACTTCTTGCTTGTGGAACTCCCTTCTGGCTCCATGTTTTCCAGCCAACTTTGATCTGCAAAAATTTAAATGCAATGTCAATCATTATCTACTGTCCTCCTGATTGCTCTTTTCTCTTTCTAGTCATTACTAATGTTTCTGTTCCTAATTCCTCCACACCCTGTAACCCCATGTGTGTTAGCAGCTGTACTGCCTTGCTTGGAATGACACAAAAGAAAAAACAAAAAGCAGATTGACGCTGACCGATTTCTAAAATGACTACTGCTACTACTATTACTACTAAATTCTGACTTCAAAACTACCCACTACTGAATCAAAATGGACTGCTATCAAGATCTACCTTATAAACAAACTTTTGCTACACTGAATATCATTCTAATCTAAATCAAATAAGTAAATATATATTATTTATTTTATGCTCTTGAGTCAGTTTAATTTAATTGCAACATTTCTGATAAATAAATACCAAGTCTCTCCAGGACAACTATCCACAACTTGAGAAGTTCCTTCTTATTTTATTCTTATGTAATAATCTTTTTCCATCATCATAATCTCCTTGACTTTTGTAATCATAAGGGGTGGGGGGCTCCAAATGCAGAAACCATACTAAATCTCCTCCACAATGGCCTATCAATGGCAGCCATCAGCAATTCTGGTATAGTCATACTTGTCTATTGTTTGACATTATCCAACCTGTTTTTATGTTGTCATCGTCTTCTACATCTACCTTCAATGGTGCCTTGCATGATGGTCTTGCACAGGCTGTCATGCCTTGTAATGTGTCCAAACCATGCCATTTTTCTCTGTTTGACATTTTAATCTCTCTTGCTGATATTTAACTTTTTCTCTACGTGCATATTGATTTTTTTAAGTTTGGTTTTCTTTTCTTTCTTTTTTTTTTTTTATTTCTTTGTAGCTGTCAAGATTTTTGATCAGTTCGGGAATTGTCCAAGAATCTCAGTCGGAAAAATTTGTAAAGAAATTGGCAACAGTTGTAAAAGTGAAAAAAATCACCAGAAAACATAGGTCAGTATATATTTTTTGACCCGATGCTATTAGAAAGGAAGAAAATAAACTTTTCACCTTAAGTTGTCCAAATTTCTTAGATGAAACCCTTTCATTATTATTAATTTTTCAACTAGTTTATTGTTTATCTTATTTTTGTTGCTTTTTATTGCAACGCTTATCTTATTTTTACATTTTTTTTTTTTTTATACAGTGAGGTTCACCCTGTACAAGGCCCAGGAGCCACTTGAGGTAGAAGCTTACAGAGTAAGAGGCACAGTTTGTGTGGATATATAGGGAAGATAACAGTTAACTGTAGATTTGAACTGGTTAAGATGAATGGGTTCTTCTTATTGGAGCCAACTCCCAAGAGTCAGTTCCATGGAGGAGAACTCACCAGTGGAATATGGAAGGAATGAAAGTGGTTCGCTAGAATGTGCATAGCATAGCGGGCCTTAACCATGAAGGTTAGAACTGATGGAACTAAGGGATGTAGTTTGTCTGAGCACTTTCCATAGAAATATTGAGCATTTAGTATTAAAGATATTTGAGCATTTAGTTTTAAAAATAATATTTGAGCATTTAGTTTTAAAAATAATATTTGAGCATTTAGTTTTAAAAATAATCTGAACAAAATTTACTGAAATACCCAATTTCTGTTGGTTTTTGCTTACAGACTGACTTAAAAATTTTACTATTTCATGAATAAATCCAAATAATAGTTGATATCTTTCTTTTTAAATACATTGAATGGAAAATATATTGAAACCAGAATTCTGATTATGAATTGCCACAAGTAAAATATGCAATTATTTTACTGTATTCAATAAGTAAAACTTGTAAAAAATTACAAAAAAGAGTAATCACTGAATAAAATTTGTTAGATCATTTGTTAGATCATAATTAATAAAAAACACAAAATAGATAAAAGTGTTTATAACACCATAATACTGCTGGGCACTAATTGTAAGACAAAATGTATTGAATTTGTATTGTTTATAGAAAATTACACTGAAACTACTGCACTGTATAAAATATTACATCATCATATAGCTAAATTGTTCAGTAAAATTTCCCTTTGAAGTAAATGAAGTTCATATTTGATAGCACAATGATTTAGTCCTTATGTGCTTTGCTTCAATCTATGCAACTTCAGTAGTTAATTTAACTGCTCTTTCCACACTTTGCAAATGTGCAGGTAAATTTGGCAACTCCAACATTGTTCCATTCAATAAAACCTTTTGCAGTTCATTATTTGAAAAACCTTCTGCAAGCACACAGGTTCATACATTCCATTTTGTGAGAGGTTAATAAAATTTGACCATGTGTTGCTTCAGAGTTGATAAATGTAATTTTTTTAATCTCTCTAGTGGCTTATTACTTCTGAAAGAAAAAAAAAATTTTATTGGAAAATTTGACTTGGTCATATCTTTATGATGTAATTTGAATGAAATTTTAAAATTAGTCTTGTAAATTGGCAGAACTAATTAAGTATGAATAAATGTTTACTTATGTAATTGAAAAATTCATAGTCTCTTCCCTCATCTCTAATTCATCATTGAGAAAAGAATATTTTCTGGGAGTAAAGCGAAAGCATTGTGGTGTAATTTTTTAAATACAACAT